TTGGTCGCCACGGTTGCGTCCAAGTCGGCTTTGCCAAAACATGTTGACCCCAAATGGGCGTGTCTGAAAATTGGGTATGCCTCCTAAATAAATTAAATAAATAAATAAATAAATATATATATATATACATATCCATTTACATACTAGGGGATATGATTGCTGACTCATCAAAACATATTGGGATACACGATTTTCAGACAACCCCCAAATGATGAATCGAATCATGCCATTAAAACGGCAGGCGTGGGATCGATGGATCTACGAAGAAGGTGGTCAGGTGGTGGATGACATTACCGTTGTTTCTTGGTACTCGTAGGGTTGTTGAGATATTGTACAAACATGTCATGTGGTAAACCCACCCATTGCCATAAACATCCACATTTTTTGCATTACCTGAAAAAAATCTGGTGTAAACCCTCCAGAACATGAGGTTCATTGGGGTTTACCACAATAGAGTAGACGGAACATGAAAAATGCATCCACATGTGTTATATTACCAAACTACCATGAATGATGGCCCTGGGCTGGTGAAGCTGGAGTTTTCACCCAGCCAACGAAAGCCTCATTATGGTTTATCATGACAACGAAGGCACTGGTGTCTTTATTCATGGTTTCAAAACGGTTCAAACAAAATTTACTGGAAACTTCTAAATCGGAACTCCATTTTTGCATAAAATATTGTTATATATGATATTATATGATATTATATGATATTATATGATATTTTTATGATATTATATGATATTATATGATATTATATGATATTATATGATATTATATGATATTGTATGATATTATATGATATTATATGATATTATATGATATTATATATATCTACATATTATTGAACATTTCCATAGCATGGCGTCGTATATCTGCGTGCCCCAGGTTCTGCAGTATTTCCAGCCCGGCGTCGTTTCTCCGGGCCACCCCGAAGACGAAGCGGACCCGGTGAGCGTACCGGAATAGCGCGGTTGACCCAACGCTTGCGGCAAGTCATGGGGGGTTCTGAAGACTTGGATGATGACGGTACTTGGAAAGCTCCGATATGATCCGATATGATCCGATATGACATGGTACATGGTGGTAGCAATTAAAGCCCAAATGATAATCAGGTTCATGAAAATTCTTGGTTTTAGCACATCTGAATTTCAGAGGCTGAGAGAGTTCATTGGGGAGAGGGAGATGGTGAGCATTTCTTGGGTAAATTCTGTGCTTGGCACTTCATAAAACACGTTGGAACTCATCAGCTCTGCAGATTTTGGTCATCCACTTGGAGATTTGAAGGGCTGATGAATCTGATGCATCACCTCACCATTTGATGGTGAATTCCCTATGGAAATCCAAACCAAACCTTTCGAGTGCCAAGGTGTCGGCATAGCCTAAGGCTACGACATCTACGGCCTGCGGCCTGGTGTTTGGGGGAGAGAAGCGGAGAAATTTCAGGACTTCCTGGCACATCATGGAACATCCATTCTTGACATGTCCATTTTCAAGGAAGGGGAGTGTGGTATCACCTAATCACAATGAGATATCAAGACATCTGAAGATTCCCATTCGTTCCATGGTGTAACTCACCATTCACGGACCCTCGCCTCCTAGGCTCAGGAGTTAATGAGTCCGCGTCAGTGGCGGGCAAAGTTGTGCAGCCCTGCTTGGGCAAGCTGGCTATACCATGGTCCAGCTGGGAAGTACACCAAGCCAGGAAGCACAACGTTTGGACACGAGGCAAAAAAAACCCATGCTATGCTAATCACAAGCAGAAAAACTGGAACGCAGATATGGTTCGATGAGCCAAACATGGTGAATGCTTAGCAAGGAACTGCAAACTGCTATTTTGGCAAACCCAATGATAAACCAGCATTCATCCAATTTTTCTTCTGTTGTTTGGGATATTTAAAACCATACTCCTGGAGGATACCACATTCCAACTGACAGCTTGCTGCAGCACCGGGTGCTGAGAGAAGACCCCGGTCCTCGATCCAAGGGGAGGCGGAGAAAAGCTGGCGCATGCTGGCGCCGTTGCGAATCTTAGGAGGTTTAAAACCTGGAATGGTTGAAGTTTCTGAAGATGGGAATGAGTCAAAAGTCTCCTCAAAATGAGTCAAGAGTCTCCAAATTCGGACACAAAGAAAGGTGTTTGGGCCATTTGACGTTCATGTTTTCTTTTTGCGACAGCCATTTATTTCTCCATGTTTTTCAACATTGGAGAGCAAGCCTCATGTGGCATCCCCAAAGACATTTCGTGTCCATCATATCCCTGAAAAAGCCAGAAAACAGATAGATTTTAAATGACTTGATAACATATATTGATAGTAGTAAATTTAATATGTCCTATCTTTTTTGGGGGGTTACTATCTCTAGAACATGACTCATGCTCAATTAATCATGATAAATCATAGCCAGACTCTTCCAAACACAACCAGCATTGCTTCTCGCGTCACAACCGCGCAATTGCTCCTGCTTCCCAACAGTGTGGGTGATGACCGCCTGAAGCCCAGCATGGGGCGACTGGGAGGCTTCACAAGGAATCCACATCTTTAGGACCTGAGGATGGATCATTATCTGATGATTACCCTCTGGTACACTAACATAGCTATAGAAAATCACCATTTTTAATAGGTGAACCATCTATAAATGGGCCATTTTCCACAGTTATGTTAGTTTACCAGAGGGTATACCATGTTTTGGGTGGATATCTGTTTACCAGCTATTGAAGGATTCTCTCCAGGGTACTGGGAAATATATGGAAATATTGAACCACAGCCGCTTGATTCGTTTCCGACCATTTTCATAGGGATATAAATTCTGGGAACTATGACATCCACCATGGGATTTTGGGAGCATATGGGAGCATCCTATTTTCAGACCAACTAACTCACAGTACTAACAGAAAAATCATTTGCATTTTAGTTGCAAACAAACATTGGATGGTTTTTCAAAACACAAACAAACATGATGATTTTCACTGATGGTCCCAGGCGGCCTGCCGCGGGCGTCAGGAGTTCAGCCGTATTTGTTGTTTCGATGAAATCTCCAAAAACTGGTTGGGTGATGTAGAGGACATGAAAACCAACCCCTGACAATGTGAAAAATATTGTTTGGTACCCTCTGGTAAACTAACACTTTGCGAACTGGAAAATCACCATTTGTAATGGCTAAATCAACTATTTCTATGGTCATTTTCAATAGCAAACTGTTAAATTACCCGAGGGTAACATGTGGGTCTTAAACCATCCATTTCTGCAGCTCAATCATTGACTCCAGGAGTTTCCAAGTGGCGAGGGCGCTGCAGAAGCCGTCATGGAGGAGGTGTGAAAAACTGCCAACTGCCTTGCATTGCAACAGCAGTTTCCGGCATTGAATCATTGGTTTGGGGATTGGTTTAAGGCTGTTTTTCTGGGAACATTTTTATCGGAACCCCCTATATTTCGTTAATATTTGATGGTAAAAACCCATGGTTTCCGGTTGAGATGTTCCCAAGAAAAGATCCAATTCCATTGATCCAAAGATCCAATCGTAACTAGAGGAGTAAACAAAATATGTCAGCTCCATCATTATGTTATAATTTATAACATATTGTAACCTATTTTATAGGGAACCAATAACCAATGGATATGTATTGTAACATGTTATATAGATTGTAACATATTATAACATGGTTCCCAAGAGGTTTCATCTATCCATTGATATCTCTACAGAGTCCAGGTGAATGCTCTTGAGGAGGCCTTGCAGCAAACGGTTCTCCGCCTCAGATGTGCGTTCCCGATGTCGCAAGGACGGGAATGATGAAACCAAACATTTTGATGACAGTTTCATGGGGATGTATACTATCATGATATCTGGGTAAATTATAACGACCTCACTGTTCTCCCTCACTGGAAATCATGGTTAGTAAGGGAAATCATCCCCAAATGGCCGCAAGATTCAGGTTAGTGAAATATTATAATTTACCGAGATGATATAGGATTCTATAGGGATAGAATGAGATATAAAGTTGATAAAGTTGCGAAGGTCTTCGGATGGCAACAAAAATCAAGATGCAGTTGTTGTTTCCCCAATGGGGCTGGGGATAGTTGATCGGTTTCCTTTCGACTTAGGACATCCTAGGACTTTCATGGAATTTGATCAGAAATTGCAAATAATCATCAACTATATCATCAACAATCTTCATCAACATTTCATCATGTCATCAACTTGACAGATTGAGGTTGCGCGAGCTGAAGGTGGCCAGCTGAGCTTGGCCAAAATCCCTGCGGGTTGGCAGGGATGTTTTAGAAAAATGCTGGCACAACCCAAAAAGAAAAAGGCTGGGATCGATTTCATCTTCACTGAATTAACCATACTTAAACCATACTTAAACATAGTTATAATATGTTATAATCATACTTAAACCTTCAATTGACCTTCAAAACAGCTAGGGACCAGCTGCACTTTTCAGGCGCCGAGCTCCATGAAAAGTCAGGTGCCAAGTTCCATGACAGCGCGGTGACCACGTACGGTATCCAGCTGCGTGCCTGGGTGGACATGCAGGCCGGAGCGTGATTTGAAAGGTCCAGGAAGAACTGGTGTTGAATTGACATGGAAGCCACATATCAACATGGCTATCTTGGATGTTATTTGTGAGCAAACCACTCATCTGTAAATCCTTGTGTAATTTGCTTCGCAAGCAGCAAGTTGTAGCCGGCAAGCAGGCTGAAACAAGCTTGTGGAGATGGTTTGGTGCTGGTTTCAAACTTATCAAAAGCACAACGTCATCTCAAAGAGTGACACAGTCCCAACATGCCTCACATAAGGAGTGGCTGCGATCTAGCCCTGTTGATGAATAGTTGGCTCGGGGGTATTAATGTACCAGGATTATCACAATCAATGAACTGGGAACCCTATTAAGATACCCCTGTTGATTGGCTATTTGTGGTGTGTTATTGAACTACTGGTTTATTGGGGACCGTTGAACGAATTATTGGGGACTATTATTGGTGCTATTATAATCCTTTATTATAGCTATTACTATAACAATGGTATATTTATGTATTTATTGGATTTATTGGGTTTATTAAGGGGTCTTTTTATAACGATACTAGTAAGAATAAAGGAATATTTATTCCAGTATATTGTAATAGTATACTAGTAAGTTATAACATGGGAATTATAGTCTCTATCCCTATTCCACCATGGCACGATACTAACCCAACCAGGATTCAACGGAATGAATCACCAGGTAAAAAACAGCCGCAGGTGGATGCTCGATTGGGTCAGCTGCTGCCCAACTTCTTGGAAGGACGCCACGTGGATCGGTGACAAAAGGTTTCTGGATGTTTCAACTGGGAGTCCCCAGTTGCTTCAGTTGGTTTCTGACTCCGATTGATAGCTCCAAATCTAGGGATTTTCTTCACAGCGAATGTCTTAGGAGAATTTGAGACCTTCAGATCTGAGTACGTCGCGGCACAGGAGGCATGGACGACATGTAAGTCATTTAGAGTCACTGTTTCAGTGTGGCCAGTTGTGAGGATGTCCAACATTTTGTCAGTTGCTACAACTTCCATTATGATGTATATACATATACATGTATCATCATATATATATGTGTATATGTGTATATGTGTATAATATAATATAATATATATATATATAATACGTATATGTTTGAGAGACCTTGAGGTACTATATTGTTCCACTGGTTTGTGATAGTTCTGGAGGATGGGATGAAAAGGCAAAAGGATTAAATCATTTGATCCTTTTAATCCTCCAGGGGGTCCGGAATTCCCCATCCAAGCCTATCGAGATGTAGACAAGCTTGCCACTGTCAAGTGATAGTCCTTCCACGAAGCTTTGAAGTCCGAGCAGTGTGCAGCAATCTAGTTTGCATTGCTTTTGGCTCCGTACACTTGGCAGTTGTGTACGAGCATGCGCAGTGGAGCAAAAAGTTGCCAGGCTCGCATGTCTTCAGGAAACTTCTTCGAAAGTTTACCCAAGTGGATACGTGCCGAAATCTCACGTCTTGGGGTCGCTTCTTCACTAGCACGGCCCCGAAATCCCTTCAGCCGAGAAGAGATCAAAGCCAGAGAGGAAATTTTGGACGGCAGCATGGTCAAGCGAGGGCCAAACGAGTCTTGGACAATCTGGATGCAAACACGCCTGTTTATATTGTTTATACATGTTTATACCCTTCGTCGAGACGTTGGCCGCCATTTGCAAGTGCTTCCCCGCTGAAATTCGTCGGAAAGTCACAGGATCTAACAAAGGGGTTAGAAAAGTTCTCTGGTCAGCAGCACCGACCGCATGGAGTGGTTGCTGCTAAACAACCTCGCAAACCTTTTTCGCATGTGGAAACACTTATCCCGAAGAATGAACTCTGACACACGAGCATGATTTTCTTGCCACACCATGCCAAAAGGGCAGCTACAACCTTGACTCCATATCTAGCAGGAAGGACATATTTGGACATGGAAGTAGGAACGAAATAAACCCCAAAGGTCCCTACCTCAAGTAAGTATATCATCATCATCATCATCATCATCATCATCAGCACCAGCACCAACACCAGCACCAGCACGACCAGCACCAGCACCAGCACCACCATCATCATCACAGGACAGTATCTTGTTACGCTGTGAGCATCATGCTAGATGATGTCTTGGCAGGTGGCCAGCACCAGGCTGGAGGCCCCTCCCGTGGGGAGGGTATGGCTGTACCACTTGGGGACCTAGACCCAAGCACCTCGAAAAATGGGGATACACATCCGTTGGGACACTTATCCCCATGGTACTGCCATAATAATGGATACCAATTGGATTGGAAAAGTCATTGGGATATATTGGGATACCAATGACTTTCCAAGTACTTGGAGGGTCTACATGTGATCCGTGGCAGGGCGAGCTGCAGGCAGTCGCTGATGCTCAGGTGGGATGCGAGCTGTCCAGCCTGGATCTCCGGGATTTAATGGAGAAAATGTCGGGGAAACCGGCGGATATCCCATGGTTTTATATGGAATGGTTCATGGTATTGTTTTACTGTTTAAATAGCCATTTGGAGGATATACCCAATTTTCAGACACGCCCATAATTCATGATCTTTCAATGACATTTCATGATGTTTCGCACCATCTTAATCCTAGCCTCATTGGGTTGGTATAGGGGACATATTACAGGAAACCCATGATTTTACCACCCAAATCTAAGCGTATCCTGTGGATTTTCCCTTCAATCAATTGGTGGCCATTGATTTTGATCCTTGATGTGGCTCATCCCACTTGGTAATCGGGTTGGAACCCTGGTTGTAAAGGGGATCAGTAGGGTTAATCCACTCATAAATGGGGTTTTAAGATGTTTTAACTCACTAACTGGGATGAAACACCAGCTTTGGTCAGGCCAAGTTGCTTCAAGTGGTGGACAGCATGTCCAGGGAGTTGGCACGCCTCAAGGACTCAAAGACGGGATGAGATGGGTCACTTGGGCTCTTAATGGGGGGTTTTTAATGGGGATTGATGAACTTTACCATGGGGGATTTTTGATGGTTATATAACATTTAATATAACACATATCTCTGGAGGTGGGTGTCTTTTTTTTTGGGTTGTGAGTCACATCCCAAAAGATGTTGACCTTTTGGCAGCATGTGTTGAACTCTATAGGGATGTGAGATGTAAAATGATGTGAACCCCGTTGCATCCCATTGTTTATCATCATTTTCCCCATTGTTTGGCCTTTTTTTTCACAGAAGCTTCAAGATTCCGCTAATTTTTTTTCACATCAATTTTCCAAAAACAATTTCCCATCATTTCTCCCATGAAGGGCCATCAATTTTCCAAAACACAAGCGGCAAAAGCGGCCATCGCAGAGGAGGAGCGCTCTTCCCGAGAGGCCTGGGACCTTGGGCAGGACTGGGATGTCGAGAAGCCTGGACAGCCTGACCTGGGATCCCGATTGGTTTAGAAGTGTTTCATGGGTCCAGTTTTCAGAGACCCTCTGGTTATGTCCAAATAGCTATTGAAAATGGTGATTTATAGTGGATTTACCCATTGAACATGGTGATTTTCCAGAGTTATCTTAATTTACCAGAGGGTACACCTATGGAAACTTCAGCATGGAACAGTTACATTGTGATGGCAAATTGGCTTCACCAAGCCATCTTGCGTCGATGGCTTCCCTGGAACTGTGAAACTTCAGCAGCGGAAATGGAATGGCTGCGACTGAATTGGCTTTTTTTATGGGGTCATGTTTCATCTCTCAATCCGCTGCAGGGAGCTTGGAATGGTTTGACACACATACCTCCCTGCAGCCATGTACAGGGAGCAGAGATTTGGGCAAAGACAGAATCTTGGAAAAGCTGACCAGTCACCATCCAAAAAATATTGCCACGGCAGATGGTAAAGGCCCATTTGGCGGTTGATTTTAGCATCAAGGGACAGCCTCTCAAAAAGACTACTTCGCTTTAGTTGTTTCACCAAGATTTCCCCACTATTTGCATTGATTTGGGTGATTTCAGTTGTAGTATCAGTATCAAGACATCAAGACATCAACATATCAACAATTTAAAACAATTTCGTAGATCAACACAATTCAACACATAGCAATGATACTTTACGACAGCAAGATATATTTGTGTCTTGGTCAAAAGTCTGAAAATAGATAGTTTTAGTATGTTTTAGTGTTTTGTTTTGTTTCACTTAAACTACTATCTATATATATATATATATCAATTTTAATATATATATATACACAATATATTATATTTGTACATATGAATAACATATGACATATTATCCATATGAGTTGATGTATATCATATCAGATTTCCCTAACCAGTCCCTTTCTGACTTTGGGGCCATGGCTTGATGGACGATTTCGACTTCGTGGTGGGCCGCCTGCTGGACCCCTTCCGCCTGGAGGACGGCGCCACGGCGCACGTGGCGCGCTTGGACGATGGGGTGCGGCAGCTCAACGGCTGGAGATGGGGGGACTTCACCATAGCCTGTGGTCATTTAACCTATGGAAAATGGCGAAATCGCTGATTTTTTCGAACTGAAACATGGTGATGTCCTAAAAAGCTATGTTTAATTACCAAAGGGTAGACAAATCGTTGGTTGAACATGATTGTAACCAAGAAAACATGAGGCTATCATGGGGATAAGATGAGGATATCATGAGGGACATAGACAAATTGGGATTTACCCTAGGGTCCGAGGGTAAACATGCAAAAAGATGTGGCAAACCTATGGGGAAACTGTTCGGAACATCATTTAGGGGTTGTGGATTTGTTCCGCATTAAAGAAAACATAGCATTTGATGTCTATGGATGGATGGATGGGAAAATCATCTATATCAGGAGCCGAAAGATTTCCGGTGGCAAAAAGGTGACTTAACCAACAAACACGGTGCTACAATGCGGATATAGCATGATATAGTGAATAGTAATCTGGATAAATTATCGCTTGACGCAGATTTGGAATATCTTCTGCCCTCTGGTAGCATAGCTATGGCAAATAGCCATTTAAACAGCAGGCAAATCATTGAATTGAATGGGCCATGGCTTCCGTAGCTATGTTAAATTACCAGATGGTATATATGTTTCGTTATTCATTTTACAAACCAACATTAATGGTCATTGGCAACAGCAAGACTTGGAATGTTGGCAGTTGGCAGCTCACAAATTCACACGCCCAAAATGTTGCCAGAATATTCAGAACGGTCTATTAAGTAGTTCGGATGTAAAATGATGTAATGGAATAAGAACGAGAGATCTGGATTACAGTATTTGGTATTGAAGGAACAGGACCACACCATCAACGTGGCTCTTCAATTCAACAATTCAAGTTCAATCTGGAACCATCTGGAACCATCTGGAACCATCTGGAACCATCTGGAACCATCTGGAACCATCTGGAACCAGCCAAACCAATCTTCCAAACTTTGGGTGTCGACTTTCTACAGAGCTGCCATTGAAGTCGTCATCTCCCTGCACCGCATTGCACCGCCCAGGCCTTCGTGGGCTCCTCAGGGCGTCATGTGCGTGAGCTGCTGGATGCCATGGGAGAGGGATCAAGGCCATTCCAAAAGTGGTCCAAATACATTCCAAATAAAGATCAATCTTGATGGATATTGAATGAGAAATAAAAAAAGGCCCAATGGCTTGATACACATCAACTATCATCAACTATTCTATGTATATATATAATATATTAATACATATCACTGGGGGATGAAGAACAACTATTACTATATATACAGTACACATCAATGACAACTATTTATGAACCAACATGGTTCTCTTCGTAGATTTCCATTTCCACAGCACTGCAGGCGTGCGCAGGGCCTTGGAAAGGCGGTCACTGCAGGCTGGCAGCCGCTGAGCTCCAATCGGATCTACGTCTTGTACAACCACCGGCTGGCCCTGGGGATTCTGAAGGTGCAGAGCGTGCAGAGCCATGGGGAGCATGGCCACGAACGGACGAAATAAATCAAAGCCCGTAGGACTAACATGGAGACATAAGATAGTAACATTGAAATTCAGGGGGCCCGGGGGAACTTATACATCGTGCACCTGGGGTTTGATTAATTTGTCCATCTACTGTATCAGTCGTAGGGGCAATTTCCTCAAAATAGATGGTTATGGTTTTTGTATGTTTTTTGTCATGGAAAATCCTATGTTTTTTTTTTGTTGTGGCACCCCCCATAGATTAGAAAGCTCCTTAAATGGCTGCTGAATGGTTAGAGAACATTTCGGATAGAAATTATGTGGTAAATGTAATGCCAATGAAAACAACATCTCAATTTTTAACCATTTGGGGGGTCAACAAAAAGCGTAAAATATTGCGGTGTCGAATTCGGTTGACCACATTAGAACGCCCTAGAATTGGGTTAGGTTAGGCCGTTTATTTTCTTCATATATCTACATATACTTCTAATGAGAAAACGTCCATTGAGGATATGGTTTCTACTTGCAGATACAGTTGAGATACCACGGGAAGTCTTGACATTTTTGGTGATGAGTTGGACATTTCAAGGGGTACAATTGGGATTGTGATGGGCAAAAGGAAGCACCCTGACATGTGGTGGAATATTGATATGACACTTCAAATATGAAATAGACTTGGGCAGTTTTGGAGTAGTTTTTTTTTGGCACTCAGATGATATCGCAATTCGCCATAGGTGGGGCCCAAGCGACTCTTCGTCTCGCGAGGGGAAAAGGAAGGCCGGGCCAGCCAGATCGACCTGTAGCTATCGGTTGGGAATCCGCAAAGGCCCTCGATGTTGATATCTTTGCAAGTTGGAAACCTGGAGTTGAAGAATAAAAAACATTAAAAAACATCAGACACTCTGTTTTTCACAGTGTTTTTTGTCAGGTTTCGAGGGATTGATGTGCACTTGATCCCGGTTAGAAGGGATGTTTACTTGGAGCTTCAACGCTCGGGGAAGTCCTAATATGGATAATGCCACACACATATCTCACACACACATGTATATTGTATATTATTGTATGTTATTATACATGGAAGTAACATCCTGTATTTCACAGAATTCCCAAGTGCTAGTTGTTTTTTCCTCAACAGGTTTGTAAAAGATCGCATGACCATGTAAACTAGGAAGTTTCATAAACATTTATTTCATGTAAAATCATGTAAAATCCAATGTTGAGGAAATATCCATTTAATCTAACCATAACCATTTAACATCATTTAACTATAAAATCCAATCTGTTCCCATCTTTTCCCAGGTTTGGTGGAGATCTCTCCGTTGTGCTGTCTGGATTTCTACGTGGTCGAGGGCCATCAGCGCGGTGGCTATGGGCGGCAGCTCTTTGACTCCATGCTGCGCAGCGAGGGCGTCGAGCCGCAGAGCTTGGGCTACGACCGGCCCTCGCCCAAGCTGATTGGCTTTCTGAGGAGATCGGAGCTGATCAGCTTGGGAAAATGCCACGGATTCCACTGTTTTCTCAATGGAGGCTTAGTTGGGACAAGCATAAGATGGGGGATTTTTTAGATTTCTTAGCACTTCATATGGCTTGGGATCTGACAATTCCAGCGAAGTCTTCATGGAGGCTTAGTTCAAGGCTATAGTTTGGAGAATCAACCAAAACTGGGGGATTTTTTGTTCCATGTTACAATGTTTGATGCTTGGAGAGTAAGATGGGAGTGATTAAGTGTAAGAGTAGATGGCTTGCTCAAATTCGATAGATGGGAATATAGCTTCCCCCATTTTTTTTAGTGGTATAACTTATAATATATAGATAAACTTAGTAACTAGTCTTCCAACCCCAAACTGATGACGTGGTCTATGTTGGTTGGGGGGATGATCATGGGATGACTTGATCATTTAAAGGGATGGGAATGTGGTTTGGGGGTCACTAGTTTTTCCTCTTTTTCTTCGATACAATGATACAAAGGTGATCAACCATTGTGGGAATATAATGTTATAATGTTATATGCTGTTCCCATTGTTTTTATGTGATTGTAAGGTTTTTGTTTTGGGAATACAATTGTTACTTAACCATTGAACGTGGGGATTTGATGGAATATATCTACTGTAAGCCATAGTGTGATATTTGGGGAGTGGAGCTGTACAGAAAAAAGATGAGGCAGCTTAAACAGAATGGGATAAGATTCCAAGTAGTTTTTGGATAGACGCAGCAAAAATGGCAGCATTCGCGCATAGTACTGTGGGAAGGTTCCATGGAAGCTTGGAACATTTTGGAACATCAAAGCAAAATTGCGGGGGTTATGTTGCTTGCACACAGGCGTCGGTCAGCTTTCGTGTTTTTCAAGTTGTTGGAGTAGTTACTGGACGGAGGGGATGAGACTTGCAGTATACATTGGAAGCCCCGGATCCATGGATAAGCACTTCAGATCAATGCGATGAGAAATTTGTCTCTTTTCACACCTTTCCCCCAAACAATTAGGGTCTGCGCAGGAAACACTTTGGCCTGGTCCAGTACCAGCCGCAAGCCAACCACTTCGTAGTCTTCGACAAGTATTGGTCCAGTACTTCCAGTCGCAGGCCCCAAGGTTCAACCTGGGGTCAGAGGATCCAACCGACTCCAAGCCAGCACTGCGCCCAAGTGTGGCCGGTGAAACTGCCGGCACCGGTGCCATATCGCCTGGGAGCTGAGGATTTTCCGATGAAAACTTCAGCTCCGGCCTCCATGGCTTCGCTGGCAAGGCGCCCGCAGGCAGCGCCTGGGCGACGCTCCTTCCAACGCGCCGGCAGCGCCATTGCGTCGAACTCCTCGTTGTCGCTGGTGGCTGCCATGGCACAAGGGAGGTTGTGAGGAATCCAAAAGTTGGACGCTGTTGGCTGTGAACACCCACCCTTTTTCCTTGCTTTTCCTTTCATTTCTCTGATTTACAGCAAGAGTTTGACACATAGTTTGAATGTGGATGTTTTTGGTTGATAGTCAGTGTTTCCTCACAACTTTGTCGCGTGTTTTTTTCTCCTTGTCAGTCCTTGTGCAGTGGTCTTTGTTTCACTTGTAGGCTCAAAGTGCGCAGCATGGCTTCCAATGGCTTCGTTTATGTTGTTTCATGAATCGGTCTGAAGTCACCACCATTGTTGACCATTCATCACCACTATTACTCATTGGGTGTAACCACTGGGAGCCAGAGTCACAAACTTTGCAAATGAAGCAGGGCTCCAAGGAGGGCCTTGATAGAAGCTATGGGCCAATGTGATGCCTGTGGCCAAAGAAATGCAAGATGTGCAAAACTCTCAAGATTTGCAGATGATTTACAGGATCCCAAGTCCCAAACCGATAATAAATGATGGCCCAATGGCCCATGGCAATGGCCGCTTCCAAGTTGATCCAAGTTGAGGCGTTTTCCGATGTTTTTGGGATGTGCGGGATAACCATTTTTTTTTTCAGAAGGGGTACCCATGGGGGGCGCAGGTGTGCAAATTGTAGAAACGCGCATTTTTTGAGAGGTACTGTGATGAAAGCATCTTCACATGAAAAACATACAAAAAAACAATGGAAAAACCAAAAAAAAACAAAAAAAACAAAAAGTTCAGACCCATGTCCCCTGCCAGCCCTCTCCCCAGACCTTGCCCATGGGTCTGAACTTTTTGTTTTTTTTGGTTTTTTTGGTTTTCTCGAGGTTTTGGCCAAACTGCAAAAAACCATGGAAAAACAAAAAAAAACAAAAAAACCAAAAAGTTCAGACCCATGTCCCCTGCCAGGCCTCTCCCCAGACCTTGCCCATGGGTCTGAACTTTTTGTTTTTTTTGTTTTTTTTGGTTTTCTCGAGGTTTTGGCCAAACTGCAAAAAACCATGGAAAAACCAAAAAAACCAAAAAAACCAGACCCATGTCCCCTGCCAGGCCTCTCCCCAGACCTTGCCCATGGGTCTGAACTTTTTGTTTTTTTTTTTTTTGTTTTTTTTGGTTTTCTCGAGGTTTTGGCCAAACTGCAAAAAACGATGGAAAAACCAAAAAAACAAAAAAAAACAAAAAGTTCAGACCCATGTCCCCTGCCAGGCCTCTCCCCAGACCTTGCCCATGGGTCTGAACTTTTTGTTTTTTTGTTTTTTTTGGTTTTCTCGAGGTTTTGGCCAAACTGCAAAAAAAACCATGGACAAACAAAAAAACAAAAAAAAAACAAAAAGTTCAGACCCATGTCCCCTGCCAGGCCTCTCCCCAGACCTTGTCCATGGGTCTGAACTTTTTGTTTTTTTTGTTTTTTTTTGGTTTTCTCGAGGTTTTGGCCAAATTGCAAAAAAAACATGGAAAAACAAAAAAAAACAAAAAAAACAAAAAGTTCAGACCCATGTCCCCTGCCAGGTTCAGACCCATGTCCCCTGCCAGGCCTCTCCCCAGACCTTGCCCATGGGTCTGAACTTTTTTTTTTTTGGGGTTTTTCCATGTTTTTTTGTTTTTCATGTGAAGATGCTTTCATCACAATACCTCTCAAAAAAATGCGCGTCTCTACAATTTGCACACTTGCGCTCCCCAGGCCAAACTGCGAAAAAAACATGGAAAACCAAACTTCATTTAATGACTTATATCATGACTAATATAATGATTATATATATAATGATTTATTTAAAAAATAATATCATGGTTCATAAAATAACTAATATAATGATCAATGTAATATCATTGTTATTAATAAAATGATTATTATAATGATTCATATAATGATAAATATAATGATTTATGTAATGGCTGATATAATTTTGAATTTATTGACTAATATAATGATAAATAACATGATTCATAGAATGATGAATATTTTTAATGATTCTTTTACTGACTTATATAATGACTAATATAATGATTAATATACTGATTAATATCATGATTAATATCATGATTCATATAATGATAAATATAATGATTTATCTAATGAGTCATTTAATGACTTATATAATGACTAATATAATGATTACTATAATGATTAATGTGATGATTAATAAAATGATTAATTTCATGATTAAAACAGTTGTGATTTTGATGATTGATGTAATGATTAAATTAATGGTTTATATAATGATTTATATAATGATTAATTTACTGAATATATAAATGAAAACAATGCGTAATGTAATGATTAATTTTATGATTAATATAATGTTGAATATATAGTGTTTAATGAAATGATTAAAATAATGACTATTATAATGATGAACATAATACTTTATATTTTGATTAATTTAATGACTTAAAAAATGACTAATATCATGATAATATTTATATAATAATTGATTGAATGATTAATGAAATGATTAATATGGTGATTAATATAATATAATGGTGATTTCAATGATTGATATAATGATTAATTTCATGGTTATTATCATGATTAATTTAATGATTAATGTAACAATAAATAAAATGGCTATTATAATGACTAATATAATGATTATATATGTATTTTTCATGATTAATAACATGATTAATATAATGATTAATTTAATGACAAATACAATGACTAGTATAATGAATATTAAAATGATTAGTACAATGACTAATATAATGACTAATATGATTCATATCATGATGAATAAAATGATGAATACCATGACTAGTAAAAAGATTAATTCAATGACTAGTATAATGAATAGTATAATGATTAATCTGAATGACTAATATAATGGTTAATAAAATGACTAATATAATGATTTTTAATATGACTAAAATAATGATTATACATATGATGATTCATTTCATGGTTAATTTAATGGGTAGTATAATTTTCTGTACAATGACTTAAATAATGATTCATTTCATGATAAATATAATGATTCATTTAATGACTAATAAAATGATTAATATAATGATTTATGTAATGGCTGATATTTTTTTCATTTACTGACTAATATAACGAATAATATCATGATTAATGAATGATAAATAGAATGATATAATTGGTTCATAGAATGATAACTATAGTGATTAAGTTGAATGATTCTTTAAATGGTTTATAAAGTGACTATTATAATGTTTTTACATACATTTAATGCTTAATATAATGATTAATATCATGAGTCCTATCATGATATATATCATGATTAATCTAATGATTCATTTCATGACTTATATACTGAACATTACAATGATTAATATTATGATTAATGTAATGACTGATATAATTCTGAATTTAGTGACTAATATAACAAAATCAGGACTTTCACAACCTCGCCCCCCATGACTACCCGCTCTCTTTTTTTTGGAGGAGCTTCTGAAAGTGCAGGACCAGGCGTGGATGGATTGGGACCCGCTTGGAGCTCCGATTTTGATGACCTTAGGGTTCCCAGAGAACCAGTTGGAACATGGAACGACATGTCACTGACTTGAGTTACTGTTGATGAGCGTTAGTAGCGTTAGCTTCAAGTCTGAAGTGCATAGTATTGGATCATTGGCTGGTCATGTTTCCTGTCAGGTCCACTATCTCAACCACCTTAAAGTGACATTTCCGAGAGGAAATCAGCCCAAGAAGGAGCAGAGATTTCCAGCTGATAAAGTTTGATACTGATTGATACTGTAGATAATGGATAGTTCCATCCATCTTTTTTAGGTTTTGCCCAGCTCTGCTGGAACGAGGTGTCGACTTTCGAACGACAGCTGCAAAACTGTCGAAGTGAAGCATCAATGGAGGACTGTTTCTGCTTCAGTTTCTGCTTCAAATGGCACCGCCCTTCCTGGATCTGTAGTGCAAACCCACTACAAAAAACCATCGTTTCTGGGGTGTTTACATCTTATTACATCTTAGGGGGATGGGATTAAAAACGTAGTCACTATTAGTCACTATTAGTCAGAGTCACATTCGATTCCTCGGTGATCAGTTACAAGTGGTCAATTTCTGGGTGATTTACAAGGTTGCTCAAGGGGGTTGACTAAATATGACTAAACTTTATAAATTAGGCACTCAATTCGGTGGTAGAAGCATAGTAGAAGCATTTAGTAGAAAGTGGGGATCCGTTTCAGCGGCAAACCAAGATAAACCAAGAGCATATTTGTGCCTTTGGGGGCTGATGTTAGGCCGAAACCGATACAATTCGATGTGGGACGGCCCAATTCTTTGTGTGGTTGTGTTTCTGACTCTTTGGCAATTCATCGAGCAGTTGTCCCAGTAAAGGTATTCTCAATCCTAGCATTGCCAATCATACACCATCAAGCGATATCAAACGGATCTTTGAGGTGCCTCAAGCATCGCTCCATGATGAACGACCGCCCAGGAGGGATCGCTAAAAGATCTGAGTGCATGGGCGGAACGCAAGGCCGTTTTCGAAGATTTTGGACGTTGTGCACAGTTTCGACAGTCCGAGTGATGATCGAATGATATTGAGTGGTTGGGGATGCCCCACCAAAAAAAAACACAGCTTGAGATCTCCATGATCTCCGGATTTTTCCTCCCCCTGGTGTTGCGTAGGATGAAAACCAATCCTCCAAAGCATCGACGCGCCGCCAGTTCTTGACAGAGAGCCAGAGGATTCAGGGCCTCGAAAGGGAGCTGAGCAATGCAGAGGCGAGTGGAATGGGCCAGGCATGGCCGAAGGTGTATTTTTTAAAATATTTTTTGAATTTGAGGACATCACTGCATGATGTTCATTTGATGTTATGTAATTGTCTATGTATATATTGTAGCATGAACTATACGTATATATATATATATACACATGAATTGTACTGTACATCACTATACTATTGAAGTGTAACAGAGTAGAGGACAAGAAAAGCCGAAACCGGCTGAATAGCTGCTGTTTGCCAGGCGCGTCTGAATGGTTTGGTGCAGGAATTGAGTTCCGAGGTCCACTGGAGGGTTGGTGAGGGGAAGACCACGGCAATGAGCTGAACGTTGCTGTGGATGTGGATGTGTCTGAAAATGGGGTATATAATATGATATATACTATACATGATATACATGTATATACCCCCAACAAAGAATTACAATTTTAATGGGAACATGATGATTAAGCATTGGATTTTTAGGTTCGCTGTACCTTTTTTGTCAGACAAACCCGTATGGTTGAATGGTGTTCAAACTGTTCAGTTGGATTGCTTCGAGGAGAAATTTACAGGAGAGCTTCTTATGGTTGATGGGCCGGCTTTCATGTTGGGCATCTGCAACGGCAAATCTGTCCTTGTGAGGCAGCCAAGGGCAAACTGGAGGTAGAGCCTTTGAACCCAGCGGGTGGCATGGCGGCCTTGACAAAGCGATGCATACGAAAGGACCCAGGACCCGCAGATTATCATGACATTTTTTTAGCCCATATGTTTCTGATTAATTATGATGGATTAATAACATGTTTATATCATATGTCATTCCCAATCTGAAAGCATTCCATCAGATATGGTGGGGATCTTGGTATTTCAACTTCATCACCCCATATCACGAAAGCTAGCCCCATATATATCATATATCAATATATCATTGTTGCATCCTCGTTGGGACGAACAATGCCGCGACACGATGATGACAGTCCCTCCGCAACTCACCTCTTCCCTTCCTTCTTTCTCCTACCCCGCTAGCTTTCGTCATCCACCCCCGGCCTCAAGTCTGACAGACTCTCCATCCCCTGCCAGCCTGCCAGGGACGGGGTGCAAAAATGGAGGACTCGCCCGCGCAGCCATGTGGGGCTCGAATCCGATGTCTCACATAGGTCTTGGCCATTCGAAAGTCAGCAGGTGCCGTATGGGGGGCCATGGATGGCCATGGGGCGATCCCAAAGTATCACAACTCCATTGAAGACTCACCTGGAAATCTCAGCAGCGTGAACCGTGAACTCTTCCACCCTGAATTTCAGCTTCCAAAAGTCCAAGGAGATGTCATCCGGGCATATCTGGGCTAAGGCTACATCCATGAAATATCTCCAATCATGTCTTTCCTACGTGTGACAGCCGTTTCCCAACAGAGGCAGCGATGGATGCCGCTTACCAGCTGCTACCGAGGTCAGTTTTTTGGGGGCCAAAAAAATCAAAACCACAATTTCAAAACATACCATCTGTTTTTTTTAAGCATAGCCACGGAAAATCACCATTTTTTGTAGGTAAACATAGGTAAACCATCTCTATGGGCCATTTTCCATGGCTATGTTATATAACCATAGGGTATCCAAAATCGACGTGTGCTTATTTAACATTTGTTTTCCCATCAATTTGGGAGGCTCAGATGCTTCAGTACTTGGCCCCGCATCCACGTTGCGACGCTGCCAGGGGCTGCTTTGCAGGGCTTTTTGGACTACTTGGTGGCTCCTCATCACAGCTCCCCGTCTGAAATATGATTGGTGCTGAGCAATGGAGGACCCAGAACTAGTAACATCTATTAACAATCATCCCATTCCATCAATTCCATCTCCCAGCACAGTATTTGTTGGGCCCACCATGGTCCCCCACCTGGAGTCCACCTCCGCTGCACCGCAGGTCCTCTGGGGGCTCCTGGCTCCTGAGAAGCTTCTGCGATGAAGTTCTGGGCGGTGGTGCGTCCCTGGGGAGCCTTTACGCTTACCTGGACCTCACAGAGGCGAGACACGACTGGAGGAGGGGTCCCATATGGTCCCATTGATGGTGGTGATTTCAAGATGTGTTTTTTGATGTGTCAAAACATTTTTGTGGAGAAGTGATGCACCTTGATATGTCTTGATACCAATTTGCTCAGAATTGTTTAGAAGATTTAGAAGTCTTAAGGGTATTTACATGTATTTACGGGTGGTAAATGTTTGTTATGTTGAGGTTTGTTTCTTTTTCAGATTCTTCAGATATGTTCAGATCGGTCCGATTGGATGGATCATCGGAGGGGGGGTGGGACCTTGCTTTTGTGTTGTATGTGTTGTGAAATGTCCTAATTTTGAAGCTCACCCAACTATCAGGCATAGAATCTCCAACGGGTACTTGAAAGTGATGTTCAAAATCCACCAGAAGAGGACATGTACCATCGATTAGAGCCACTGAAAGGTCGGTGTAACAGTGTAACACACACACAGAAATCAGGGGTTGCGCACACCTGTTTGGTGATCTTTGGTTTGCCGGTTGCACCTTTTTCCCTTCTGTCAAGCCGCTACCCAAGTTGGAAACTTATATACTTATATACAACACAGTACAACATTATAGAACGCAGTGAGACGATGGTAGTATACCCTTGCACGAGATGCATGGTAGTAGAAAATAACCACAATAACCAAGACAATACAACTCAGAACACTTAATTATCAACTTCACATACAACATTATACATTGATACCCTTGCTTATCAACTCTTCATCACTGTTCGTTCAACCACCAGGCACTGCTCATGCTTCGACCAGCCTGCCGGGCGATTGCTGCTGCTGCAAAGGCCGGCCATATTTTCCTTGGCTGTGAGTGAATTTTCCCTAAATTCACTGGTGAATCACTGGTGAATCACTGGTGAATTTATATTCCCTATTGAAACGATTGAAACTGGCCATAGCTGGGCGCATCGAATGTTTGGACACAGCCCTTTTGAAAAAGGAACTGAACACATCTTAAAACACCCCGTGCCGGCATTTCAAAATCCGTTGTCCAGCCATCCTGGGGCCAGGGGCATCCACGGCTACGCAGCCCTTTGGTGGTGGATGTGCAGGTGGAAATGGCACTGGAGAGGGGTCATATCATATCTCTACTTGTACATATAGGATCCTATAGGTACAGTAAGGGCTGGCCGATTCTTCGGTACATGTGCATGTTTGGTTGAATCATCTTACATCCACATCTCCGTTGTTTAGAGGCTCATTTCTACTCCCTGCTCTGGATGATTGTGGGTTCATCAAGTTAAACTCCCATGTATGCGTTGAATGATGAAAAAATCACGGCCAAACAGCCTGTACATGGGATGTATTTTGCAGGTCAATCGAATCCCCTAATTCCAGAAGCGTGCCAGATCAAGCTGTTTCACATGTTTCACTCGGCACCAGGACATTGAGGACCTTCTAAGCCAGATGCCCTTCCATTGGCCCAAAGGGGTTCTCATCCGCCAGGTAGGGGAACTGTAGGGGAACTAGATTGGAACTGGGGATTTTGCTACTTTAGGTCACATCAAAGTACCTGAAAAAAAGGCGTCCCTAGAAATATCAATTTACACATGCAACAAGATCGTGATTTCCCTTCTTCGATCGTGTTAAGTGTGGCCATGGCAATACATGAAGGTTGAAGAGTGTCTTTTTTTGGATGGAAGTGCAGCAAATAGTTATACTTGCACTATGGAGTCTGGAGTAGATGAGTGTGAGAGAGACAGTACAGATAATTACACGTGATAAAAATCTGATGTGAATTGGAGTTCATATAAGTATACATTAGTATGTGTTTACACCAACGTATATGCAACGTTCATGACATACCGAATAGTACACACAGCCAGTCTGTCTGTGTGGCCAGCGCCACGGCGCGGTCACGAGTGCCAGGTGGTGGCGGGTGCAAATCCACCTGAAGCAGTGCTGAAAAAAGCGCTGATCTCAGGGCATTCTCGGGTGAAGTTTGAAACTGGCAACAAGAAAGCGAGGCGCGGCCCTATGTTTTCAATGAAGTTTGGATATTGTTTGGATTGCATGTTGCTTTATTCTGCACCGAGCATCATGAGGCGGTTCATTTGCAGAAAGTGCCCAATACGTCTTACGCGGACATGAAATGCAGACAAATGTCACAAACAAGCACAGCTTGGCTCAAACTATTTGCTGAGATTTGATTACCTTCTAAAGGATTGTTCTGCGGTGATGCTTCGCGTCAATGTCGCTTTGCTGAGCGGTCGCACTGAAGTCTTGGAAGTTGAACAGTCTTCAAGTGTGCAGGAGTTGAAAGTTCTGGCCCAGAAATCTTTCGAACGTCGTTTCCTGAAGCTCGTCACTGCAGAGCGTCGTCCTTTGGTGGATCTTGGTGCGTCTTTGGAAGCTGAAGGCATCCAAGATGGAGACTTCCTCACAGCCGTACCGCTGCAAGCGCAGTTGGCAGCGAATGACCGAGCCTTTGCCCTATGGTGTCCTGGAGGCGACCACGTTGTGACGTGGGGTGATCCAGAGTTTGGGGCTGACAGCTCTGCAGTGCAGGATCAGCTCAGGAGCGTCCAAAAGATTGAAAGTTCTTTTGGTGCATTCGCTGCCATCCTTGCAGATGGGTCGGTTGTTGCGTGGGGCGATCCTACAAGTGGCGGTGACAGCTCCAAAGTTCAAGGTCAGCTCAGGAATGTCAAGCAGCTTCAAGCCACACAAGAAGCATTCGCTGCTATCCTTGCTGATGATGCTGATGGATCTGTGGTGACGTGGGGCAATCCATTCAATGGTGGGGACAGCTCTGCAGTCCAACATCTGCTCAAGCATGTACAGCAGCTTCAAGCCACACGCGATGCGTTTGCCGCTATCCTTGCTGATGGCTCCATTGTTACGTGGGGCGCGCAGAATTACGGCGGTGACAGCTCCGCTGTTCAAGGACAACTTGCGAAGGTCCAACAGGTGGCAGCGACGGGTTCTGCATTCGCAGCCATCCTGGAAAATGGTTCGGTTGTTTGTTGGGGCGATGGCAAGAATGGTGGTGACTGCTCTCGTGTCAAGACTCAGCTCCAGAATGTCAGGCAGGTTCAGGCCACAGACAATGCCTTCGCTGCCATCCTTGCAGACGGGTCGGTTGTTACTTGGGGTAATCCAGCAGATGGTGGTGATAGCTCTGCAGTACAAGATCAGCTCAAGAGCGTGCAGCAGCTTCAGGGCGCCAATTACGCCTTTGCTGCCCTTCTGCAAGATGGTTCGGTTGTTAGCTGGGGTTCAAATCAAGGTGGGGACAGCTCTCCAGTCCAACATCTGCTCAAGCATGTACAGCAGCTTCATGCCACTGATACTGCATTTGCGGCTATCCTGGCCGATGGATCCGTTGTGACATGGGGCCGTCAAGAGTTTGGAGGTGACAGCTCGGCCGTGCAAGACCAGCTTCGAAATGTGTGCCACATTCAATGCTCAGGCTATGCGTTCGCTGCCATCTTGGAAAACGGCTCAGTGATCACGTGGGGCCATCCAGAACGCGGCGGTGACAGCTCTGCTGTCCAAGAACAATTTGCGACTTTGTAGCCAGCATGGTCTACAGATGTGTACAGTTGTGTCCGCTTGCAGTTGTGTCCGTTTGTCACGGGCCAGACCTGTGTATTTATGTAAAGCTATGCAACTCTTCAATGAACACAATGTTATTAACCTCATGCAACTGAATTCTCAGCAGAAAACACAGAAACAAGTCCGTTTGAAACCATTTAATTTGAAACCTCGTTTTCTCAAGGGCTAAGCAGTTTGCAGCAGACTTACACCAAGATTCAGCTACGCCTGCAGTTGGAGCGACAACAGGCTCCAAGACAAGGTGACTCGGAATGTTTGAAGCAGCTTGCGAAGACAAGGAAAAATGCTGGCCCTGACAGCAGTTCCAGTGTAGGTGCGTTTCTTTTGGCACAAGGTTTTAAGTCCTAGAATATATCGAAAGAGGACATGAATTCCAGAAGACTTTTCCAGCAATTGCGGGTCCGGTTCCCCCAAAAAACTGGGCTATGAGAAATGCTCGATCTGAAAGTCATCAGCTGAGGTCACTCAGCTGCTTTGTGCTGCTCAGTCTGTGTCCAAGGCGCTGCTCAGTCTATGTCCAAACAATGGTGGATTTCATGGGTTTAACCGTCACAAAAGGGATTGAAGCAGCAATCCAGCAAGGACTCGACTAAGGACTCCACTGAGGGCCAAATTTTCAGTTTCCTGGGACCTGGGGATAGCGAAGGCTTTAGATAGGAGTGCTTTATGCTTCGTTGCGGGCCTAGATTCAGATGTGGGGCCACAAGTTTGTTGTGGGGACAGACTGTGCCAATCCCAAATTAGGGGAACATAGGCTCACCAGCCCAGTCAGGTGGGACATCGCCGTTCATCCGTTCCAAGAACTCCATACATCGAAACTATGCCCATGGCCCATGGTGGTTGGCCACCTTCCAATGTGACCCCGGTTGGTGACCCGAGCCAGGAATTGGGTGCTGGGCAGCTGCAGAGATTAGCTCTGCCGATGCTTGGACTTGATATGGAAAGTGATGGGGGGAAAACTTTGGTCAGAATGATGAGTAGTTTGATATGTAATTCTCCTTGCCCAAAGTAACATTGACCCTGCCAAATAGGGCTTTGGAAGATTATACAGTTTCCACATGTTTCCACTAGTTTCCACTAGACATTAGGCTATTTTCAGCGCTTTCACGGTCTGTGTTAATTTGGGGGATGGCACTGTATAACTACCCATATATAACATCCTTTGCGAATCCTGTGCTTGGGTCATCTCGCTTCCCTACATTTTTATGCAACAGATACCACTGACCATCAACCATATTTGACCATATTTGACCATGCATTGGACCATGCATCATTCTAACCTGGGGCCAATGTGTTTACTGGTCCATGAATATGAGACTGATGTGCCAACACTAAGGCTGGGAGTTCCCAATCCTACCCTTCGCATGTGGGTGAGGCGCTGGTTTTCCGTTCTTCTTGAGGAGATTGACCATGCTCACACCGCAGAAGGTGATCCGTGAGAGTAGATAGAACTTCCCAAACCTCCCAACTTTCGAATTTCTGTAAGTCATTTCATCACTGCTTGGTGGTTTCAAACATGACTTTTATTTTCCATTTCATATATGGGTTGTCATCCTTCCCATTGACGAACTCCATCATTTTTCAAGATGGTTATTTTGAAAGTTTGAGAAGCAAACTGCTAGACAGATTAGCACTGATGTTTTGGGTGGAAGGGTGGGACCTGCCTCAGTATTGGCTCTGCAGGTCCACCCGATTTCTAAGGGATTTGAAAGTATCATGTTAATGGGACTCGCGCGGGCATGATGTTGCCACCGGCTGCGGATCTCATCGGCGTGATCGACCTGCAGGGCATCCGTGATTTGGTTGGGATCCCCCAGGCGGTTTGGACGGCCTTCATCGGTCAAGTGGGGGATCCCGGGACGAGCATTGCCTTTCTGGCGGCGTTGCCAGCATTCATCGTGTCGCAGGCCTGCTCGGCCGCCCAGTTCCCTGATGGCACGATGTTCAACCCTATCAATGCCACGCAAGTGGGGCTGGTATGGCGAGTCTGCCGCAAAGCTATGTTCGTCAAGAACGGAGGTGCAGAAGAAGAGTTCATCGACATAGAGCCGTGGAACGATCCTGGTTCTTCATCTCAGGGACATCCTGCAGTACCTGATGGGACTACAAAAGCGACGGGAGTTAAGGAGCATGTCCTCAAGATGGCTTCCCTTGTGGACCAGTCAGATGAGTCCGAGTTGATACCAGCGGCCCCGGACAAGGTGCAGGAGTGGATACAACGTTACATCACCACCATGGGGTCCCCCCCGGAAGAGGAGGAAGAGGCGACCGATGCTCAGCTTGCAGCTTTGTACAAACGTACAGTGGTGCTCAAGCAGGCTCCTTACACTGACTTCAGCGTTTGGACGCCATTCGGAAGGAGGGCACTGAGGAGCCAGAAGTTTCGCACGTTTGTGCCCTTGGGGGATGGCAGCTTCTTAGCCAAAGAGCTTCCTGGACCTCAGAATCTACAACAGTGGATGGCGTCTTGGAGGGTGTTCAAGGTCGCTGCAATATCCCTGGGCATTATCTCCTTGGCGTCCCTCCAGCAGTATGAGAAGACGGTGGAGAGGTTGACATTGCACTGGCCTCAAGCTTGGGGGCTGATAGCCTTGGCGGACGACAAGGCCAGGGCGGAGCGCTTGGAGAAGATCCGTCGTGGACTTGTTGCAGACCATGGATCGGGGAGAGACGTGCCACCGGGCTGGAATCCTGATAGCCCTTGGTCCGTGTGCTTCTCCCTCCTGGCCAAGGATGACACCTTCTGGTCGGAACAGGTGAGGCACCCCGCTTCAGCATGGCTGGCCGCTGGAGGTCGTGGAGCTCTACTAGCACCAGCAGAAACTATAGCTTCTACCCATCTTGCAGGCGGTGGTGAGGCTCTCAACACTCCAAAGGAGGACACAGACAGGAGGCGCCAAGCCAACCGCGACAAAAGAGCGGCCCGCAAGAGAAGATGGGTTGAGGACAGGGAGGAGCTGTCCAAGCTGAAGGCACAGAAGGAAAGTCATGGACGTGCTGGAGGCAAAGGTGCAGGCAAGGGCAAGGCCAAGGACAAAGCAGGGGCAGAGATCTGCTTTAGTTGGGCCCAGGGAAAAGGGGCCTGTGCAGACGTGCCCGTTGGCAGTGAATGCAAAGGGAAAGTACGTAGGGCCCACAAATGCCAGATTTGTTTGTCCCCTGGCCATCGCAATGACGCGTGTCCACAAAAGTGAGACGCTGCGTTGTGTCGCTTTCGCACCCGGGTCAAGACAGGACCTGGGGAATCTCGGAAGCGATTTGGTTTCAGTGAAAAGGGGGTGGCCGGGTCGAAGTCAAACTTGTGGCATTAGGGTTTGATTAAACGTGCAAACATAGGAAACCGGTGAGACTCTGAACATCTTGAACGAAGGGTCAGGGTTTGTCTTGAGGGTAGGTTTGTTGTTCCTTCTCCAGGCAGGTTCAGGTGTGCCAGCTGCTGGATTGAAAAAAAAAACTGAATGACATGTTTGCACAACCTTTGCATGGCAAATCCATACATGAACAGTATCATGGTCGCCCCGTGCTGCAGGTGTCAACGGCCCAAGCGACGTGGGGCCATGGAGCCTGGTGAGGAGGCCGACTGGGACCCTGACGACACCAGCGTCATTGAGGGCGAGTGGAACCCGGAGGCGCTCAGACTGTTGAAGAGCGACCCGGACTTCGCGCAGTACAAGAAGGATCGAGTCTTCAAGTTCATCCACCTCTTTTCTGGGCCCAGGGACATATTGAAGGAGGCGCTGGAACAAGAGGCCAAGAAGGAAGGGGTCCAGATCAAGGTCGCCTCGTATGACAAGTTGGGGACCGGCGGACATGACCTTGCTGCAGACGAACCCTTCCTGACCATCGCGGGGGAGGCCGACACCACTGACGGATACCACAGTGGGTATCCATGCGGCTCCTTCTCCATGGTGAGGAGCAAAGAAGGTGGACCCCCACCGGTGCGGTCGAGGGAATGGCCGTATGGGCCGCCCTCCAATGATGCAGCTCAGCAGAGGGAGGCTGACACCGGCACTGTGTTGGCAGTGCGGTCCACCATCATAGCAGCCAAGGTGTTGGACAGTCAACGCAGGCGCAGGGTGGGGGAGGTAGCCACTCTAGAGAACCCTCCGGGGTCAGAGTCAGGCCCAGACCTGCCATCTTGGGAGCTTGCCGAGCTGCAGGAGTTCCTGAAGAAGTACGAGGCGCAGGTGGCCAACTTCAACAGCTGCATCCACATGGAAGGGAAGCAGCGGTGGTGGAAGCCGGCAAGATGGGCCGGGAGACTGCAGGGCCTAGAGAGCTTGAGTGGCAAGTGCCAGTGCCCTTCATGGGTGTCACACATCACCCTGCTGGGCAAGTCCAGGACGTCGGCAGCGGCTGAGTACCCCCTGCCCTTGGCCAAGAAGTATGCGGCCATGGTCATCAAGGTCTTCAAGCAGAATTTGCAGCTGGAGTTCTGGAGGTACAAATGCCAGACAAAGGCGATGGAACTCAGCCAGCTGCAGAAGAACTGGGTCAGAAGCCGTGAAGCCAAGACCCCATCTCCGGTCGAGGACAACATGCAGGTGATCGGTTCGAAGAGAGCCTGGCAGGCGGGAGACGTGGCCAAAGACCTGGGGCCCTCACAGCTTCAGGTTTCCAAGAAAGCCAAGAAGGAGAAGGAGAACGACTTCTTCTTGGGAGGGATGAGGAATCCAGACCTGGCTGTGAAGAAGATGCACATGGTGCGCACGGTGGGGGCCGACATAAGCCGGGCATGGAAGCACTTCCTGGCGCAGCACCCCAAGGCGATCGAGATAGCCGAGAACTATGGGGGCGGAAACTGCGCTCCAGACACGGAGGTGGGAGAAGCGTGGACGAGAACTCTGGAGAAGCTCCTCAAGGCGAAGGACTTTGACGACATAGTCATGAAGGAGGAGTACGAGTTCACATCCCCCCTGAACGCAAAGCTGTGGGATGCCTGGATCAGAGCATCAGGTGATCCGGAGTGCAATGTTGTGGATTGGATTAGAAAAGGGGTGCCACTTGGGATGAATTGCAAGATCCCCACATGCGGCATCTTCCCGGAGACCATGGAAGAAGACAACATTATCGGTGAGGCGCCGCCCATGGACTTGATGCGGGACACGCGCAACTATGCCAGCTTCTATGACCTGATTGAAGCGGCGGAAGAAGAGCTGGGGCGATACGTGCAGAAAGGCTTCGCCGTCATCAAGGACAAGAAGTGGATCACAGAGAGCTTCGGGTCCGGCACCGTCAGCAAGATGGCCCTCATCCAGAAGACAAGGACGACGGCCGGGTGAAGAATCGCGTGGTGGTGGACTTGCTGCGAAGTGGCGGCAACGCCAGGGCAAATGTGCCGGAGAGGCTGGTGCTTCCGCGGGTCATTGACGTGTTGGAGGGGGCCAGACGTCTGAACTCCAATTCCGAGGAGTACATCAAGGCTGCGAAGAGGGAAGGCTGGATGCCAGACAAGGAGGCGGAGATGTACGAATGGGAGCTGGTAGGGGCTGATTTACAAGATGCATTTTGTCACTTCCCCGTGTCCAAGATGGAGGTGTCCAACTGCATCTGCCCCGGAGTCAGGCCGGACGAGTTCGTGATGTACACCGCCCTCCTCTTTGGGTTCAAAGCCGCCCCCCTCCTGATGGCCAGGTTGTCAGCCATGATCTCCAGGTTTCTCCAAAGCCTGTTCCTTAGGGGAGAGGGCGTCGTGCAGACCTACATGGATGACCCCCTCTTCATCCTGGCGGGGCCGACGGCGAGGAGGAACAGGACGTTGGCCTTGATCTTGTACTCGCTCTACGCGATGGGCGTGAACATTGCCTATGCCAAGGGAGAAAGGGGCCTCCGAGTCAACTGGATCGGAGTGAGCTTTGAGCTGGACCTCCCGAGGGAGCACATGAAGCTGACCATCTCCCAGCGCATGGTGAAGGAGCTCCTGACCAAGATGAAGGACTGGGAAGGTGCCGGCATGATAGGGCTCAAAGAGCTGAGGGCCACGACAGGAAAGCTGTCTTGGGTGGCCGGCATACTGCCGCGCATGCGTTGGGCAGTGAGCATCATGTACGCGGTGGTGGCAGCGGCCGAGCGAGATGCCAAGTCGGGGGCCGAGGAGGAGAGAGCTGCGAAGAGGTCAGGAGACAACCGGCCCAAGCCGGATCTGGTGGCGGTCTCCCGCTTCGAGCTACCTCGGGCCTGGCTCATGAAGTTGCCCTCCCAAGCCGACCACTTGCTGCTGCGGTCGGAACCACTGTACCCGGTGATGCCAGACCTGGCCATTGTCACAGACGCTTCACCACAAGGTATTGGAGCTGTGCTGTGCCGCGTGGACATCTCGAAGAACCAGATCTTTCCTTGGGCTGCGCTGGAGATTGCCCTCAGGCAGGAGGACGCTGAGTGGCTGGGCGTGCCTTGGAAGGAAGCGGCATCCCAGGGGGCATTGGAAGCCTGGGCCGTCTTGCTGGCCGTGCGATTCTGGAAAACGCGGCTGGTCCAGATGCCCTTGCTGCTGAAGTCGGACAGCACGGTGGCGCTGGCGATGACGGCCAAGCTCAGCAGTCCGTCCCCGGTGATCAACTGGATCAGGGCGGCGCTTGCAATCAAGTTGGAAGTGCTGGGCATCCCTAAGATGGTGGGACATCACATCCCTGGACAGCTCAACGTCGAGGCAGACTGGCTGTCACGACCTCATGACCGTCCTGCAGAAGTTCCATCCAGGCTGCAAGGGGTGAAGATCCACCACTTTGACGGAGACGCCCGAAGGCGTTCTGAGCTTCCGCCGCCCGGAGTGCTTCCAAGGCTGTGGGGTGTGACGACCGATGCCACCCTACGAGCTTTTGAAGACTTGTGACGCCTGCGGCTGACTGCTACAAAGGTGCTTCCTTTGGCAGCCGCGGGGGGGGGGTAGGGGTCACAAAATCGGTTCTAACCAGTTGTTTTTTCCCCGTTTGTTTTTTTTGGAGGGCTTTCCCCCTTCACTTGAAGACCCTGGTGAGGTTTTCGAGGTTTTCTGTGGGGGGGAAACAACTGGATTGCACCCGCAGCAAATTCAGGCTGGCCAGCATGGATCACCCAGTCGATGTCTGGGTCGCCGACGGCCCCGAGCCATGGCCATGGGCGCTGACCTTCGTCCTGCTGGGCTGGATCGGCCTACTTTGGATGGCTGGCCATGCCTGCGTCATCTGCGGGCGCATGCTGAACAGAAGCACGCGCTGGGCAATGGAGGCAAAGAGGGCGTGCGCGGGTCTTTCAAGGACTTCTTGCAGAACCAGAGGGTCTACGCCAAGGCCCCTAGTCAAGCGGGGGCCAACATCACAGGGTGTCTCAGTGGAGACGCAAACGGAAAGTTCCCCGTGCTGCTTGGGGGGAGAGGAATTGAGCCCTCTCAGGCAGCGCCGTCCTCCATCATGTTTGGGAAGGGGGGACACCCCCAGAAAGGAGGGGTGCGTCTACTCCACACACCCAAGGCAATTGGGCAGCCCAGACCTGGTAAGGGCTATGGCATGCCGCGCAGGGCCCGTCTTGAGGGACCTAGCAAAAGGGAGCAGGACAGCATCCTGGGAAGGGGGAAATTGACACCGAGGGCCCCCGAGATCACAGCGCCGATCTACCATGGCAGAGAACCTGAAGTGACAAGGGCACCTCAAAACGGGGTGGGGAGGTCGAACGCGCTGAATGAGGAGCGAGCGGGTCATGGCCTTCCTGCAGGCGGTCAAATGGACGGCAAGAAGGGTTCCTTCGCAAGAGCCTTGGAGGTAGCCGGCAACAAGGACTTGCTGGGCCGAGCCTGGACGGAGCTCAGCAAGGGGTTTTGGACCAGCAACACAGCCGCTGTGAAAAGATCCCGCAGGGAGGAAGTCATGAAGCTTGCCGTCATGGTCACGGGAGATCGTGACGTGCTGCCCCTGAAGAGGCAGACGGTGGAATACGTGGCTGCCGCCCTTAAGGCAGGAGGACTGGCTTCTGCTGACCAATATCTCAATGAATTGAAATTGATGCACGTGGAGGCCGGCTATGATCTGGAAGCATGGCTGGGCCGCACCTTTCAGCTGTGCAAAAAGTCCGTTGCCAGGGACAGAGGCCCCATTAAAAGAGCGCCGGAAGTCGACGTTGATGCACTTCATGCAGAAGCTTGGAAGGGTGTCGCAGGAGCGGCGGTCCCCCTTGGAGCCTGGGCCTACGCCTGGGGAGTGGCCTGGATGTTGAGGGAGGTGGAGCTCTCGAAAGTGAAGTGGGAGCACGTGACTTGGAACCGGGACACAAAGACGGTCCGGTTGTTCATCCCCCACTCCAAGATGGATCAGAAGGGCTTGGGAGTGGCCAGGACGCTGCAGTGCTGCGGGGAATCTCCCTGCTGGAGAGGCTGCGCCTGGGCCGTCATACAAGGTTTGATTGAGCTTCGTGGACGTCGTGCAGGGCATCATGAGGAACTCATGTTTCCTAACGTGGCGGGAAACAAACCTTCAAAGACGGAAATGGTTTCCACGTGGAGGTCCATCTCGCGTGGTGACATTGCGGGCCACTCTGCAAGGAGGTCCGGGGCCATGGCATACGTCAGGCGGGGCATGGGAATCAGAGAGCTGGCCTTCCTGGGCAGATGGCGGTCAGCCGTGGTCCTCACCTATGCCGAGGAGGCACTGGAATCAACTCCGGCCAACAGGCCCTGTCCAACCTTGGCCCCAGAAATCGGGGCGGCACCGGGCACGCCCTGTCCGGGCACCCCGGCAAAGCTGATCATGACGCCGGTGGTGGAGACAAAGCCCAGAGCTCAGGGACGTGCTGCAGGACAACTGGAGATTGGGAAACCCAAGGCAAAATCGCTTTGGGTCAAATCGACGGAGAGAGGTGGCACAAATCCTCTCCACTTCATCTCCAACGCCGACTGGAGCCTGCCCATGAAGGACTGGTCCACGGCATGCGGCTGGTCCTTCGCCAGAAGATCGGCCCACATATCCTTTGTGACGGATCCATCCCTGAACGTCCTGAAGTGCAAGAAGTGCTTAGGGCTGAAAGGTCTGCGCGACGAAGTCAAAGGGGGTTGCAGTCCAGCCCAACTGATGGCTGCAGACCTGGAGCAACTGGCTGGCACAGACAGGCCAGGTGACAGGGATCTGTCACAAATCCGCCCTTTCAGAAAAAGAAGGGTGGAGGGTGGGCAAGGCTTCTCGGTGCGCAAAGCTGTCTTGAAAGTTTGAGAAGCAAACTGCTAGACAGATTAGCACTGATGTTTTGGGTGGAAGGGTGGGACCTGCCTCAGTATTGGCTTTGCAGGTCCACCCGATTTCTAAGGGATTTGAAAGTCCCACCCACCCACACCTGTATATTACTTTCTTTCTAATTCCCCAATTTGCGGGGGTTGCAGTCCAGCCCAACTGATGGCTGCAGACCTGGAGCAACTGGCTGGCACAGACAGGCCAGGTGACAGGGATCTGTCACAAATCCGCCCTTTCAGAAAAAGAAGGGTGGAGGGTGGGCAAGGCTTCTCGGTGCGCAAAGCTGTCTTTAACCACCAAGTCATTCATCATATTTCATCCCGATCCACATCCCATCCCAACCACCCAAGGTGACCCCGCCAGGCTTGGCTTGTTGAGTGAGCTACGTGAGCTTCACCTGCTTGGCCGAGGAGGTCCCTCCGATGCAGGCCATCCGACATCATCCGACGAGCCGAGCCGATCGGGTGCGATGGATGGTGGAGTGCTTTTGGATGTTTTTGTGATATCAAACCATCGAAAAATGCCATTTTTACCAGTTGTAAGATGTTGTAAGTTGGTCTATAAACCCAGCTTTAGGCTATATAGATTTCGATGCAATCTGATACATCGATGCAAATCGATGAATTATGACGACCTCATGTCGCGAACACTGAAATGATGGGAATTGGATTGGGGATATTGGGGGTAACTATCCCAAGTTGGTGGCCAAACTTTTCAGGTTGGGTGACATGGTGTAATTTGTCCAGATTGGGTATGGAGGGAGCTGTTCAGAGCTATGGTCCATTCAATATCTCCAAAGAATGGATAGCCAAGGACAGAGTTTCCCAACCACATCACACTGTACTTCTGGGAATGAAATATATCAGCAGATATCTCATCAACATGAGAGGAGTTGGAAGCAAACTGCTGAGAACGACAACTCAGGAATAGCACCCCCAATTTCTGGGCGATGTACCCCGAATTTTGTCTGAAATGAACAATACAAACCAAGTTATGGATAGTTGTGGATAAGTATGGTCATTGAAAATCCATCACGTCCAACCATGTTCATTATGGCCATTTATAAACCAAAACATGGGTTTCACCTGAATCCATCCACTGGATGGTTTCCTCGAAGCTTCGCGACCGCCAGGTCTCACCTACTTGGCGCGCTGCTGCCAGAAGTTGCAACATCTGACTTTGTTGGGCGGCAGCAGTTCTGCCGCCTCGTCCTTGCTACTACAGGTGAACTGGGCTATCCACCGGAGAAACGAGAAACATCGAGAAACTGGGGATGGGATCTTCAGATCCCCAGCAATGTTCACCATCTATCACCAACACAGGTGTCCTGACTCCACCCAGACTGGATCAACTCCCCAACCTCGCCATCCTCTGGGTGACGGAAATTTCTGAAGGGTCAAACTCCTGGATCAGCCGCCGGAGGCTCAGTCCAAAGGCGCCATGAGCGATGACTGGTGGCGAGGCTTTCGATGCACCAGGCGCGATGCCGTGGCGGAGACGTAGCAATGGTGCCCCCAGCAATGGGTGAAATCTACCACGGACAAAAAAACACGCAGGGACATCCCAGGATGTCTTTGAATGTGTGTTTTTGGAGCTGTATTCATGGCATGTGGTAGGTACTTAAGGTCAACCACATTAAAAACGTAGCATTGATGGGATGGGTTGAAAAACCACCCATACGTCCATCTGAATCCTGGGAGGCTATGCATTTTGCCGAGACTTCAGCATGCACGGCTGACATTTTGCTGCACCGGAGTTTGGGGTTGGGAAAGTCCCCGGAGACTGGCTGGACTTTAATACCAAATGTGGTGGTTTCCCATGATTTTCTGTTGAAGCCATGAGATTACACCAAAGAGAATGACTGTTGAAACATGGTAACACGGATTTACTTGAAGTCTTGTGGAAAGAAGAATTTCGGGCTTCCCATGAGTGGTGATGTTCACAAGACTGGTGGCCACTTACTGAATGACATCTCGTGTTTGTCATATTTGTCATGCTGTTCATTGCTGATCTCTAGAATTCCCATGAACACAACAGTTGACCAAGACCCTTTTTGGTTGATAGCAACCCAGCAGTTGGGTGCCCAACTTGCAGGGCTCCCGTGCAGTTGGCGGATGCTCAGGAAAGGTCTTTCTGTACAAAGAGTGCCATCCTGGTTCTGCGGCCAATGGAGCCCAACCATGCCTACCTGGGGCCATGAGGTGCCCCGGTGCCATCCGGTTTTTGTGGAGCCACTGTGGATATTTGTTGATGGTGGGTATCAGCATGCTAAAAGCTTGATGTGGGTTGATGTGGGTTGATGGTTGTTACCCTCTGGTAAACTAAGATATGTCACATATAACTATGGAAAGTCACCATTTTCAATGGGTAAATCCACTATCAATGGCCATTTTCAATAGCAGACTGTTAGTCATTACCAGGCCGGGTATGTCCCAGATTTGGGGCTGACATGAAGGCAATGCATGACGTGAACCTCTGTCTTGTTGGGCTCGAGCAGCTGACCAGCTGTACCTTTGAAAAGACCATGGCTGGCGCCAGCAAAACACAAGCGGGTTGAATCATGGCATGGTGAACCCCACCCAAAAACCCCGTCAGATCCGTCAGTTTCTCCCATTTTGAATCAAAAAAACCCAAGAATCCTCCAGGTTTTTTGGAAATACACAGTTTGGCGTTCTTTTTGCCAAGCTCAACTCATGGGGGCTACTTGACCTGGTGCATATCACATCATATCACATCATATCACATCATATCACATCATATCACATCATATCACCATATGACTTAACCGTTAGGCAATATGCTGATATGATGGAACCAAATCCACTTGGCTCTTCCTGAACTTTTTGTGCGGCATGGGCAGTGGCAGCAGCGCTCGCCGAAAGGCGTATGCCCAAGCCAAAGATGAGCCAAAGGCGCGGGGCTGGCCGGGTTGGCTGGGCTGCACAAACACACAAACGCATCCAGTTCCTATGTAAATGTATTTACATAATTGACATAAATTTGACATCTATTTGATATATTATTATTTACACATGTCAAATATATGTCAAATATATGTCAAATATATGTCAAATATGTGTCAAACATCGATGCCAAAAACGAGGGTCAAGCTAGATGATCCCGAAGCCGCTATGTCCGCTATGTGTCAATGGTGAAAAAAGGGGGCAAGTCTTCAAGTCGTTGGCAAACCCGACGGGGGGTCACTTAGCCATGGCATTCCATACCTACTAAGCAGCAAGAACGTGCCAGGAAAAGGCATGGCATGACATGGCATGACCTGGTTCTTCGAAATGTGGAGAAATACCTTTTTGCTGGTTTGGAAAGTATCTGGACACCATTTGGACACCACATATGAACCACATGACAGATATATGATATATGATATGATATATGTATGTTATATATATAATAATCATATGTATATATATATATACATAATCAATAATAACAACACTAATAATAAATTATTATTATAATATATATATATACATATATATATATACATACACATATGACATGTGGTTTCTCTCAACAACAGTAAGCCAAAGTTCATCTAGTACCCCTTTTCGACTCCATTTGTTCGTCCTCCGACCTCCGCCATCGGCAGTCGGATCCTGGGATCCTGGCCACACGGCCCACGGACGATCCGACGGAAATGGTGATCCATGCCATCTCTGGGGGAAGTCAAAAGACCCTGGCGGAGAAGAAGAAGAAGAAGAAACAGGAGAAACAACAAACGCTTCGGGGCATGGAGTGACTTGTCAAAATTTTAATGTTGTTGAATGATGGTTGGATGTTGACATTTTGAAGATTTTTTATGATGATGAGCGCTTTTGATGTTCCGGTTCAAAGAGTAGAGATATCGGTTCTATATTATGGAAATTTGTTTTCAGTGTAAATAATGTAGTTAGCGTTACAGAACATTTTATATAGTTTGTACGTTATTTTGTTTATATATACATGTTTATACTATAATACATATATATATATATTTAATCATATAGACAATCATTTTGTGCGTTGGTGAATCATGGTTGATGACTCATTTGCCCAGCTCCAGTGCCAGTGGACGTTCACTTGACTAGTGGCGCCCCCAGGCCTTTGGGCTGAAGATGACCTTTGATTCTGTGGGGGGATTTCTTTGATTAGTGAACTTGTTTTTTAGCTATTTTTTATTTTAAAGATATCACAAGATATTGTTCAGACCTCTTCTTTTGAAAACATTCGACAAATTCTCCTTATATATGGGGGGTTCCTAAAATGAGGGTACCCCCAAATCATCAATGTTCATAGGATTTTCCATTGTAAACCATCCATTTTAGGGTACCTCCTGCCTTGTTGGGAGTAAGGAAACATCTGGCGGACTGCAAAACGACCGATCTATTGCAGCTTGGCTGATAGAGTTGGATAAGCACCAATGAAAAGAGCAGTGGGAATGGCTTACTGAGGCCTTACTAAGAAGGGGTTTCCCGTGTTTCCAGTGGATGGTACCCCAAAAAACCCAACGCTTTGAGCCTTTTAGTATTGACACCCATGGTGACGACTGGGGAGATCAATGGATCAACTCGGTAAAAAAGTGACTGCTTGGTAAGACCGGGGTGTTCATGGACATTTCACCATGGATATTTATATGACATTATATAACATTATATATATATAACATAACCATAGATATTTATAGATATTTTGCATACCATGGTAGCCTGAACCATAAAATGTCCTCCTGGCATTTTCGTGACCGCCACGAACACTTCCTTCGCTGCAAACAGGAAGGTGTACAACCTCCGTCAAGCCTTTCCATTGTCCACCACGACCGGACATCGGAGCGCAGCCATGCTGCCTGAAAAGCTGCACTGCGCCAGCTGTCGAAATCTGATTATGCGACTGGTCGATGAAGAAACAGACGCTTGGGCAGCCTGATGATGGCCTTGGTTGAACAGCCAGAAACATCCAGGAACCGCCAGTTTTGGCTTTAACACCCATTTCCCAAAGGGTGTTTCCGGTGTTTCCTATAGATTTTCATAGATTTTCCCTTGAACTGGTCCTAGACCAATTCGTTCAGGGCTTGGTGAATGCATTGTTTCAGGATTTTAAAATTGACCTCTTGACGGTTGGTGCCCAAGATTCTTCGACATCTTCCAACGCAAATTGCTTCATCCAGCAAGTTATCATTATTCTCCATTAAATCCTATTAAATCCCATTAAATCACCATATCCCACTTTCCCAGGAATTCTATGCATGTAAATCCTGCTGGGAAATCGGCATCGCCATCGGTATCTGTGCCCGCTGCGGGGCTCCCACATTGCGCCCCTTATCGGCGCGCAGCCGCAACAGCGGCGGGGAGCCGAGGGAAATGCTCATCCCAACCGTCAAGTCAGGTGCCGGAGATTGGGGTATTCCACGAACTGTTCTACGCCAGAATTTTTCAACTGTTGGCACTATGTTCTGCAAAGTTTGTGCAGAGTGGGTCTATGGCCCGGGGAAAGAACATGGAAATTGACGGGGTTCCGTCGGCTACCCACATCTCATGAGGCTAAAACCCCCAGAAGCTGGAGCTGAAACACCATTTGGTACATCGAATTGCTTTCTTCGAGTGATGAAAACTTGACACATTATTCTTACATAGTTTCTGACATTCTTTCTGGCATTCTATCTGACGTTCTATTCTGACGTTCTATTCTGACATTCTATTCTGACATTCTATTCTGACATTCTATTCTGGCATTCTATCTGGCATCGATTCTGACATTCTCTCTGACACGGGCACTGTGATCTGGAGCTCGCGGTTGAGGTCCGGCAGTGCCCGGTGAGGTCCGGAGCTCGCAGTTGCGATCTGAGGCTGCCACAAGGAAGGAAGAAGGAAGGAAGGAGAAAGTACCTCTGATAAAATCTAGAGACCCTCACCTGGCAGGTGGGGAAAAGGGCCCGAATAGCCAAAACGTAACTATATCGACTATATCTATCATAAACCATAGTTACAGTAACCTTTCGTAGTTAATACATGTTATCAAATTATTCACACAGACTTAGCTATCTGGGCACTCGGTATACCCTTGTGGTTCTGCGAGATTACAAAAAAAAAACGGAGAAGCGGAGAAACCCACCATGAGGTGGTTGCCAACCTACATTACACGTGTCAAGTGATGCGAAGGCTGCAGCTTTGCAAACCAGCGTTCTGATTTCCCCTCTTTTGACTACAGTACTCACTGCTGACTGTCTTTGGGACTTGTTGGGCCTTGTGATTCATTTGTTCATCCGCGTTGTGCGTGAACTCGTGAAGTCCAGCATGTTACCTGTGATCTTGGCCTAACCAGAGAACTAGCATAAAGAACCAACTGTATATATATATATAATACTTAAATCTACTTAAATTAATGATAATTAATGTATATATCTATATATATATATTTCAAAGATCCAATTTTGAGGAATGATTCAATTTCGCCAGTACCTATATCGCCCAGGTTTCTAAAGATGGTTGTTTCACCAGGTGCATCTCTGGAACCCCCGCAGAGTCGTCATTCTCAGCGGAGCAACCGGTCACTGTCCGGCCCCTTTGCTGCGGCTAACCCGGGCGAAGTCTCGTTGCAATCTGTCAATTTCTTGAGCCGGGAAGACGATGAGTGGGGAAAACATGGGAAACGCACTGGTTTCATTATAGTCATTATAGATTTCAAGTGCTGCACCCGCAGCAAACCAATCTCGAATAGGCTTTGCATGGAATCTGTTTGAATTCCTCTGCGAAGTAGAACTCCTTGAGGCCAAGGAGATGACAATCAGCGTTGGAAGGCTTATGTGGGTTCATCATGGTTCATCTAGAAATTGTGGAGCACCCCCAACTTTGCTATTTTTGTTATAGTTCTATTAATTTTCTAGGCACCCCATGGATTTGGGGATGCTGCGCCCTATTTTGCAAGGATCGGAGGAGGAGGAGGAGTTGGCAGGAAATCGGCAAATCTTTTCTCGGATTCACACTGACGTCTCCAGGAACGGGGGCTGCGTGGGAAACGAACGGTGCAGGTTGTTTGTTGTTTCGCATTTCACTGGGGCGAAGGGTGGCCATTTCAAAGCCATGAAGTGTTTCGCCCCACGGATTGATGTGATGCATCACCGAACACCACTGTGTCAAGACCAGTTCCCCAGTTGGCCCTTCCCGCGACATGTCATTTTGGGATGGTCCGTTTGAGGTCCAACTGGCAATTCAATCCCTTCCCCCTAATCTAATAGATTTAGTAGGGGATGAAATACGTTAATTGGGAATATAGATTGGGAGTGTTTCATACAAACGGGGGATGGAATTGCAAAAAAAAAAACACCAAATCCTTGTTCCTACTTTCGTTCAACCGCTGTTTATATCTCAAGTCATCCCTGTGATGTTGGTGCCGCTTCTCCATTTCAGTTTGTTTTGTTTGCGATGTGTATATTCAACCACCGCACTTGTGTCCTTGCTTCTCTTGAAGAGATCCTTCCCATTTATTATAGGGTATATAACCGGATGTAACCGGAACAATCCCTGCAAATGAAGGCTGAATTTTTGAAACAATTTATATACTTATCGAACGGGCCGTTTTTCTGGCCTTCCCTCATTTTGGCTTCAGGCTCTATCCCCAATCTTCTTCACTCTCCCTTTTCTTCCCAACTCAACTCCCAACAAAAACCATCAATCGCCGTTCAATCGCTCTTTCTCCATCTACCAAAAGATGTATAAAAACTGGGCACCCCCCGGAATAGCCATAAACAAGGGAAAGACGATGATCATTTCCGATCATTTTCAGACACCCCCGAAAGATCCCAACAGAAGAACGGCCTACAATTCACATCAACTCACCAGAGGCAGTACCTCCGGAAGAACTATACCAGGCGCCAGTCCGACCCGGGCAGCCCCACCGGCGAAGATTCCATCGAGGCGCAAGCGGAGATGCTGAACCGTCGCTGCAGTGCGGCCGATGCGCAGCAACGCTCCCAGGAACGGTCCAGGTGGGGGGTCTGTTGCTGGGGATGGGTGAAGGATGGGAAAAACTGGGCAACATCTCGTGTTTTTTCTGGCGTTTGTTGGTGTTTTATGATGTTTTAATGATACTGTAATGATGATACTTTAATGATACTAAGTAATGTCTTATCGATTCTTATCGTGTATACATGTGAGACTGTAATTATATGTACTTATTCTAAATTCCGGGAGTATGGCGCAGAATACGGGCTGGTACATGAAGTTATATGATCATATATGGGATTCAATAAGCCGCAAATGGCGGATATGGTTGCTGGGAACATGGGGTTATGAATCATTATGAATATATGGTATGTTACCATTGTATTGTATACCATTACTGTATTGTTATGGGGATTGTGGACTATTACCATACATGGGAACTTCTGCATGAAGCAGTACGGCGTTTGGAATGGGATGAGGTGGAAACTTGGAGGTTGGCAGCGTGATAGATAGCCAAAGCGCTACACCCTAGTTTTGTTCTGGGAAGATCCATAGTTGAAAAGAGAACCCCCCACCTCCAATCCGAGGTCCCAAATGGTTGTTTTCGGTTTGATTCATTGACATAGGTGCACCTGTTGGGTCAGATTCATAGCCTGCTGGCCCGTCTCACACTGCCTTCTCCCTGATCCATTGGTGCGAAAGCGATCCATTTTGAAGGTGTGCAAATGATCCCAAGCCCGAGGGGACTTGGGATGATACATGAAGCCTTCCCTAAAGCCACTTCCACTTGGCTTCTAAATAATGAATCTCCTTGAGGTTTCCTGACAATTCCGGTTCGAAACGCTGCCAACATCCCAGTTCTTTTAACCTGAGCCATGAAACATACCCCCATCCCATCTCATAATCATATAATTATTGGTTGATTCATACCCCAAACAAATCACCATATATAAGAATCCCCAACAAAAACCAGATAGCCTCCAACCTTCCATTCAACGGCAACAATGGCGACCTGCCAGGCCGGGCTCCAAGCAACAGACCTCGCGGCCGGGCTCCAAGCAGCATCCCTCGAGGCAGGGCTCGAAGGAATCCACGCAGGACGTCAAGCTGCCGAATGGCGTTTGGTCCGTCACCATCCAGGAAGGCAGCGGCAAAAAGCAGAAGACTCGTCGGGAGGAGCAGCAGTTGACGTTGATGTTGATATGACTCTCTGAAAATGAGGTATATAATGGTATATACTATATTTACTATATATATATATATGTATATACCTCTGAAAATGGCGATGTGAATAGGGAAAATTGGAACATAAACCCTGGGATTTGCTGCGATTGTTTCTGTATTTTCAGACGAAGCCATGTTGATGTTTTCTTAGGTGCAGGAGTTTGGGGAAATAAAATCTGCCAGCAAGAATTGGAGAACTCTCACCATTGATTCATCACCAGAATGGTCAGTTCCAGGGTCCCCCTGCAGGAACGGCATCTGCATTTTCATCCCGACGGCACGATAGAGGGCTCTGCATCCCACGAAGGAACGGTGAAGGGCTTGGTCAAGCGACCGGACGTGGAGTGGACCGAGAATCATAGCTGGGGAAGCATGCTGGTGACTGGGATCCGAAATCTGCTGGTGAAGTGGTGAAGCCTGGTACAGGATGGTCCCCCAAATTTTTGGTTGCTATTTGATGGATCTGGATAGACCCCCACGGTCATGATAGTTTTTAACTCATCCCCATCTGATCTTGACGCTGGTGCAGTGGATGGGTCACTAAGTCAGTGAAATCATTTGTTTGGAAAGCACAGATTCGCCATCCCGTTTGTTGAGACCCACTTCTGACTCATCCGGAGATATCGTTTTCCACATGTTTGGGAGCGTTGGATGCTGGCAAACCGTTTCAGAATTATCAAAGGAAGTTTAGTTCGAAAACGTTCGAAAACTTCCGAGTTACAGACGATTGTCATTGGCAGCATTCTCACCATAGGGGGATCTTCATGCCCATAAATACAAACTATTTTTGGTGTTTTCACAGGGAATTCCATGGGTGAACTGACTCATCCAATTTCAGAAATTTCCATCATCAGTCACCGTATTTATTTTGCTCCACATTAAACCACGATAATTCCCATGACGAAAATCTGTTCTCCCAGCCATGTTTTTTCAGGTGAAAGTAAAGTTCCATCGAACCGAACCTTGGCTCTTGGAGGGCCACTTTGAGACATCCGATGCGACGCAACCTGGGCCTTGATTAGTTGAGTTCGTTGGAGGGTTTTTGATGAAGAGACACATAGAATTCGTGGGATTTCATGGGAATATCATGGGATATATACACTTACTTCCATGACTATTTGGAAGTGTCTGAAAATGGGGTATATACTATATAACCCAAAAAATGGAGCTTTCCTAGGTCATGAGGGTACCCCCAAATGATCCAAAATGAACCCATTTTAAAATTGGAACCCATGGTTTTGGGGATGCCACATTTAAAGAGACCCCACATGATCATTCATATTGCATATAATTAAATTAGATATATGACAGTTAACCAGAGGATTTGGGGGTACCCTATTTTCAGACAAATCCGGCTTAGTTCCTGGTTGTTATGCGTTGGGTGGACCACAAAAAAGTGGGGGTCATTGTTATGATGGGGATTAAGCTTCAACCATTTTTGTCGATAGGGATGTCATTGGGCCATTTCCACTGGAATTTATGGGCATTAATATAATAACATGATTTAACGAAGAAAAACGTTGTTTTGACCAATGAACTTGGGAATTTGACGAATGGACACTTGATTGATATTCATTAAGCATTATGTGATCCCCCAATTTGCTTGTTTCCTGGTGATCTGTCTTGGATCCATCACATGCTAAACATTGGGAGTTTGTCTTTTTGAGAACGGATAAAAACCAGCATTTTGACCAAAATATGGCCATCTGATTTTTTTTTTGGTGCAAAAAAAACCCAAGGCAAGGCAAGATCACCCTGGTACACGAGAGATTGAAGTCTATGGTGGACCTGTCTTGATTTGCGACAGATGTGCCTCCGGGGCAGTTCCGTTGGTACCATATGGCGCCATGTGCTACGCGGAGCGAATTTTTTTCGGGTCATCCTGGTGGATTTGATATGTCAGATGTCAGTTTTTATTGGGGAATCAGGATGAAACAGCAAAACGTCAGCATTTGTTGGGAAGATCCTGTTAAACAACTCATTGGTTAGTATTGGTTACACGTCTATCAGTCCTTCAGGATAGTTTTAGCTGGAGAACGACACAACAAGAGTGTGTTCTCCGCTGGGCCTCCGGCTTTGGAGGTGGTCACGGCCAGCTCGTGTGCCTCGGGGTGCGCGGTGTTGGCGCTGATTTTTGAGCAGAGGATGTCCAACGACACCGATCTGCGTTGTTTTGAAGGTGAAAAACGACGATTCTTTGGAGGGTTCGCCAGGTTCCGGATGTCCCGGTGGATGAATAGTTGCCATCATATGCCATCATGATGATCTGGTTGGTGGTTTCAAACATGACTTTCATTTTCCATAATAAGATGGGATACCACCAACCCATTGACTACTATTTTTCAGAGGGGTAGGTATACCACCAACCAGTGATCCATTTTCCACCATTGGTGTCGAGCAAGGGTAATGGGTGGACGACCGAGATATCTTGCGACCCTCGTGTTTTGATAGACGCTATCGAGGCAAAATTCAATCGGCCAGGCCGCACCTAGACTTAAGCATCTTTGAAAAAAAATGCGCCAATCTTTGGGCTGAAAGTTCAGTTTCCGATAGTTTGGTGATGAGCTGGTGAAGCAGCTGGTGATGGTGGGTGTTTGGAACTCAAGCAAACTCAAGCAAACATATCAGTTCAAGGGATCTTATCATGGATGATTTGTGCTGAGAAATCACATGATCTGATGGTCTAGATGGATCGGGAAGGGATGCGCAACAGGTGCATTACTACGATCCTTTGGGTCGCTTTATTTGCATGCGCAACAGCATGATCGAGCGTGTTGGTGTGGCTTGGTATGCAGAAATCCTCAGAACTCATCGGAAAAGACTGAGACAGGACATCCTTCAGGATGCTTTTTTTCAGTACTTTGGACACAGCTTGGACATCCTTCGTATCGGAATTTTCTTTTAAGTGTGGGTAGCCCCAAATTCATGGTTTCAACTGGTTTTACGTGGTGGCAATCCGCTGATCCACCTTCACCTCGCGGTATCCACTTAAGGATTGGATGCATTTGGGTGCATGAAATATTTAGTAAGTCCCAAGTCACAAATATACACAAATGGGTTTAGCCCATGAATTATAATCATATTATGCAATCATTATATAGCGATTACAACAGCACATTTATATGTGGCGACTTGATGCTACTTGGAGGGTCTAGGTAGATTAAAATAAAACAGCTTGGCTCCTTGTGAAAAGTATATTTGGAGATTGTATTTTCACTGATCAAAGCATAGCAACCCCCCATATCAGATAGATTTTCGTCAAATCCAATTCTGAAATAGTAGTAGATAGTGGTACTATTATCCCAAAGCATCCCAAAGCTGTTTTCTCAATAGAAATCCCAATAGCAAAACTATTAGGACTATATTACTACATGGTAGATGTGAGTAATTACATCATTTTTGGAGAGACATTTCCGGTTCATAGGAATCCCATACAGCTACTAACCAGTACATATTAGTAGATGTTTCTGATTAATTATTAGTACATCATTTTTGGAGGAATCTCACAACTACTAACATCTACATTAATCTACTAACATCTACTTTAACCTACTAACATGAACATTAATCTACATTCATCTACTAATCAACCACTGTGTTTTTTTCTTCCCGATGTTTAAAACCGCGCAGATCTCAGGTGGTTCGCTCCCTCCTTCCTTCGCAATTTGGCCCCTGGTGGGAGTTGGATGTGACCTTCCTGGCTCGGCAGGTGAGGAACATTGACGAAGATTTAGTGGTTTGGAACATTTTTTATTTTCCATTATATATGGGATAATCCCTCCCATTGAATAATATTTTTCAGAGGGGTTCAAACCACCAACCAGATCTGTTATGCATATACTGTATGATATATGTATAATATATGTATAATATAATATATGTATAATATATGTATAATATATGTATAATATATGTATAATATATGTATAATATATGTATAATAGATGTATAATATATATATAATAAATAATATAATGATTTGAATATATAGATTCTAGATATGAATATTAATATAGATATAATAATAGACATATCACCACAAGTATTTGCAACAAATGAGTCAACCTCAACAGACTGATTCCCGAAGATGTAGAGGAAGGTAGGGAGATGCTGTGATGATGATGATGATGATGATGATGATGATGATGATGTTGTGCGCTGACAGATTTTATGGCTTTGTCGCTAGTCATACTGGGTTGCCGACTGGACTTGATGAGTTCTTGTTTGATGCTGATGCGCATGTTGTAGCCATTATAAGCACCATCACATGGCATAGCCTCGACAACATCTTGAGAATTTCGGGAAGTTCGCCCTCATTTTCAGCACACCTTGGCGCCAGGACTCACCGAGCCAGCTGATTTTGCTCCTTCCTGTGGGTTCTCCGGGAGATGCTCTGGCATCATTGGAGGCTTGGGCAGGCGCCGCTGATCCCTGGGAGGATTGGAATGATTGGACCATGGATCCCTCAGTGGGTCCCAACAAAAAACCATGGGATTGAGGAAAACTGGAGCTGCGGCCTTGAAGTCATCTGGAAAATCCATGGAAAATGGTGATCAACTCACAAGTTGGGAACACTTTTCTGGGAAAAATCTAGAAAGATGGATCCCTCGGACCATCCCAAACTGGCAATGAACAATCCCACCATCATTGAGATATTTTTTCGTGTATATGTAAATATATCTATATGATATGTATACACATCATACTGTTGGATACCCCCCTGGGATTTTTCATGATTTTTCGAGCTGGTGCACCATCCACCAGATCGTAGAGCCAGGCTTTCAAAAGGAGCCGTCCAGTGTGGTGCGTGGCGCCATTGTTGGCAGCCTCAGCTGCTGTCATGGCATGGTTTGTGCGCCAATTGGGGTATAAAACCAAGCAATTCATGGAGATTTCGTGGAATATCATGAAGATATTTGTATAATGCAATATGATGGCATGTAAACCCAACATATAAACCCAACAATATGATCAATATGATCTTTGGGTGTGTCTGAAGATGAGGAATTTCCCCAATCAAATGAACCATCCACCTTTGGCAGGTTCAGAAAAACTGATGTGGGGTTGAACCATCCCATCCTGATCTTCCGAAGCATTGACAGTTTCAGAATTTGCGGAATTTTCAGATTTGGGTTCGTCTGAAAATAGATGAACATCGGGTATTCCGATATTCCTAAATTCGATGGTAAACCATCACTTTTTTAACATACGGATGGCTATTTTTGGGTATATCCCATTTTCAGACATCAATTTCATGCCATTCTCAACAGATTTGGACCACGACTTACGTCCTTTTGTCCCTGATTGCTGGTAAAACACTAGGATCCACTCCAATTTTAGATGATTTTACCTGGTAATGTTGGTGCTATAAACCATCAATCCATCTGGGTGGGCGTTATCGGTGCGACGAGGTGGGCCCCAGCGACGGCGTGCGGGACCGGCCGCGGAAGTTCCCACACCCGGGGCATGGTCACGAGTGGAGGACGGGAAAGTGGGCGGTTGGGATTGGGATCATTCTGTCACCAGCAGTTTCTTGGTGGTGAATGATTTATTATGATTTATATATTGATATTTGTTGGGGTTTCCATAAATGGGGATACCCCTAAATGTATGGTTGATAAGGGAAAATCCTATTAAAATGGATGAGTTAGGGGTACCCCCATTTATGGAAACCCCCATTTATTGTTCTAAGTCTGATGTAGAATTCCACATGTCTCCGACATCAATGGTACTTCTTCCAGTTGCTTCTTCCAATCATTTTATGGTCGAAGTACCATTGATGTCTGAGACATGTGGAATTGTACATCAGACTTAGAACAATATATAGATGGTTTCCACAAATTCGGGTACTCCTAAATCATCCATTTTGATAGGATTTTCCCTTACAAAAACCATACATTTAGGGGTATCCCCATTTATGGAACCCCCAACAAATATCAATAAATCATTCACCACCAAGAAACTTTTTTGAAGGATGCACTGGCTACCTCAAACATGACCTTGCTGTTCAGAAATAAATCCTTGGGGAGCATGACATGTTGTGAAACTGAATCCCTCTTTCTAGTGATCATATCCCATTATATCTTTCTAGTTCTTCATCGGCCTGCTGAACCGAAACTGAGAGTGACGACATTTCCCCCTAAACCTCCTTTTCTAAGTGGTTGGTGCAGCTTCTACCAGCAAATGCTGGTCAAAGGACATGCCATTGAATACCGACGCTATTCATATAGCTGAAGGACATCATTGGTACTCTCCATCTTATGGATTCTGGTAGTTAGACTCTGTTTGAATTCTGATAGTTACTCTCCTGCAAACTAAGATAGATGTAGTTATCACTCACTATTTCTCGATCATTTTCCGAACGAGTGTCCCCATAGGTTTTCTACATCTATGTAAACGTTTCTTCCAGGGTATAACATGCAAGCTGGTTAGTTATATCAGTTATATAAGTTATATCCCAATAAAAATTATCCCCATCTATCTTCGATTGGTTTCCAACAAAAACCATTCGATGTCCATGTGACAGTCTTCCAGGAGAATCAGTCGCGACTGCGTTGTGGAAGATTTGATGCCCTGGGGATCGGGGCCTCAGTATTAATCATCACCTGAGGAGAATACCCGATCCGATCACCAACTCTGGATCCAGTGATCTCAGGAATTTTCATCAGCATGTCTAGGCCAAGGCTATGGCCCGATCACTGATGAATCACCACGATCACCACTGAGGTATCCAGGAATGGGCGGAGGCGGCGATCTCCAGTGGTGCAGATGACTCGGTGAGCATGTTCTTCGAGGATGGGCGAGAACGGGGGGCCCTGACTGCGGGGTGCTTTTTTGGATCTTAAGGGGTGGATTGACTTGGATGATCTTTGGGGAAGTTGACATTTGACATTTGGATAACTTTGGTGATTTTTGATTAGATTCTTGGTTGAACTTTTGGTGCTCCTGATAATTCGCGAAGCCGCCGATGATATGAAACAACCCTAAACCCTAAACCCTGGTGAAATATATTCGATTCAATTTGGCGGCCATATGGAGGATATTAAATATGAGGGGGATCAAGGGGGATGGACATATTTACCTCCAACAGGTGGTATAAAGACAGAGGACATATCCGGAACTCTGTTGATTCAAGGCAAAAACAAAGAAACGTGGTGATTCTAAATCATTGTTAGTAAGTGATGTTCATACTTTTAACATGTTTAAAAGATTGATTTCAAGATTGGAATTCGAGATACAGCATGATGGTTGCCAGCGCCAAAAACACGAGGTTGTGAAAGTTGAAGCTGCGAGAAATTGGGTGTGAACCATAGATAGATAGTCAATAGGAGCAACGACAACTAGCATTCTGGATAGGCCATGGAGTTAGTTATATAAGCTTAGTTAGTTATATAATGTTATGTGATACATAGCTTATATAACTAACTAGTTCGTAAATGGCTGACTACTTAGCTAATCCATGACCCATCCAAGTAAGAATTGCTAAGATTTGAATTGCTTCAAATCTGTGCTGTCAATATGGCATCCACTTGCCAACCCAGTGCTTTAAAGAAGGGTGGAAGGACGTTCTGCTTCCTGCTTCCAAAGTATGATTCTAAATATATTTCAGATGTGTTAAGTCTTTTATTTCACAATTTCCGTTGTTTGGTGTTGATCGACATATTTGTTTTCACACCAGTGGGGGATGACCACTATCCCCCCAATGGGTCAGCTGTATCAGGGCGCTAGCAGTGATGATGAAGTTGAAGAAAGTCCCTTGGGAAAAGGGGGCTGGGTGGATCATGTATTGGGGATGGCAATGGATCAAGACATGTCAAGACCTAACACATCCTCAGCATTTTTCTCTACAAAATGCTAGTGATCAGTGTACATGCTAGTGTGGGCTTTGGGGTACTTAACTTGGGGCCATGGAGTCATGGAGTTGCAGTAATTCACTGGTAGCCCCAAACAGAACTGTGGGGATTCATGTCCCACAAGTCAGTCCCAACGTGCCAACGGGGGATGGTAACCATTATGGTTTCACTGGCACAACACTTGCATACCGTATTGCAAGTTTCACACCAAAGCATCCAACTTGAAAACACCAGAAATATACCTGCAGCCCAAATGAAACTCAAAGAAATTGGGTTCGGTTGCCAGGAACACGAGGGATCATTTTTGTTCCAAGTCCATATGAATTTCACCCGGAGACCATGACATGTTCTCTGCCCATGCACTTTTCGATGATCTCAGGTTCCTGTGTGACGTGTCTTGGCTGCCATGAAGTCGCCAGCTATCCCGAAGATGTCTTGCCACGGACTCAGGAAGAGTGTTGAGGAGCTTCTCGCACAGCTGGATCGCGATGAAGCACGGGAATGGGAAGCATCTTGGTGACACAGAAATGGGGGGGTTGAGCTGGGCCAAGTGGGGCGGTTGATCCATGCAGATCTATGAAGTGAGTTGGTCACCAGGTGATTCTACCAGCAAATGGGTATTGACCTGCTTTTTCATGGACTTTGGATGACTTCAGAGGTTCGAAGTTCGAAGCATCTCTTTTATTGGCGCTTTCAGTTGATGCATGGCCACAGTCTTGGACTATGACTATGACCCAGCTTCAAATGTAAGAAATCTGATTTCACTTGATATGCTCCATTTCTATCCGGGAAGATGGCAGAACATCATTCTCATACATATTTTATATATTATATTATATACATTTATATACATTAATGCATACATATGTATACTACAACATATTATTATGTTATATATAATATATATATATATAATATACACATGTATGTATCTAGGATCTGAATGAATTATAGTGACCTCATGATGGTTTCTGTAGGATTCAGGGAATCATCCCCAAATGGCCTTTTTTTTTCAGCTATTTGCAGATGAGTGCATGATGTTTCAGAATAGAACTAGATGGTCCACTGCTTCCATAGCTTACCCTCTGGTTATGTCAAAATAGCGAACTGGAAAGATCCCACCCATTTTCCAGTTCGCAAACTGTTAGTTTACCAGAGGGTATATCATATGATAATATCCGATTATATCATATTATAATATCATATTATATATCACATGTTTGATCAATCTTCAATGGCCAGGCACTGCGGCCCTCCACCCGAGTGGAGGTGGGAAATGGCTCGGTCCCAAGCATCGAGGAGAGCCGGAGGTCCCCATGGTGATGAACCCAACCAGTTTTGTGGGGAGAATCATGGGAAAACCATAGGAAAACCATAGGAAAATGGTGGTTTAATGGGATTTAATGGGATTTAATGGGAGTTACCCTTTGGTTATGACTAACATAGCCATGGTATAGCCATGGCCCATAGTTATAGATGGTTTACCTATTAGAAATGGTGGTGATTTTCCATGGCGAACCGCCAAATAACCAGACGGTATAGTTGACCCAAAATATGGGTAATCTATGGGGATATACTTACAGTAGAATAATCTATGAGATACTGATATAGATCCATTTTGACCTGGGATAGAATGGCGATTTTTCTGATATAGCTCCCACCACTGGAATTGATGAGATCGGTGGGGATTTACACCAAGAAACATAGGGCTTTAACATGCTTTAACCAATGAACTTCGGGATTTGAAGAATGAAAACTAGGTTTGATATTAGTGACTAATTAGTTCACAATCCATTTGCCCTAAGCAAAAAACACCACCCAAACGAAACCCTGGTGAAATGTCTGCATTTTGGCCAGACATGGTGGTTCTTTGAGATGAATTCGGTGATGGGATTGAAAGTTAGCTGTGTTTCTACAGCTTTCAACCATCAGGTTTGATGGGTGGTACAAGCAAAACTTAATGTGATTTGTCCATCCACTGGGTGATTTTGACGTCTTTGGGGGGTGTCTCCCCAGGGTCCCCAGATTTGGCAAGGAGATCCTAGTGCAGTTGGACGTGGAAGAGGAGAGGGACCGCTCCCACTGATGCCGGTGATTTCGCCGCCGTACAGTAGCAGCGTAGCAGCGTAGCGCAGCCGTCTGCCGCGTTCAAAGGGCACGCGGAGGCGATCGCCATGGGAAGTCTTGGAGCCCCGGGCAGACCCGGGCGATGGGACCAAAACAGAGGAAACAAATGGACGTTGTCCCGGGAAGAAGCGACATTTTCCAGATTTTGGATGATAAATTGGGCACTTTTAGGGACTGAAACTTCCCATGGATCTTCCAGCCCCGCCAAAGATAGGCTCAGGGGCTTGGGATCCTGTGTGTTGGGGCCCCCGGAATCGGCCGCGGCCTTGACAAGTCACGGCCATGGCCTTGATAAGTCACGGCGAACGAACCACCGTCGACTTCCGGTCTTCTTCAAAAATAAAGACCAGATGCAGCATGGGCACAGGGAAGTTGGGGATATCTTAACCAAGGAACGAGTTGTTCATCTTTGTTTTTTGTTTTGGAGTGACTCTGATGGAAGACGAGGCCGTGCAGTTAAACTGCATTTAAGTCTTCATAGTCTTCATGTGTTCCGCTTCATTTTTATTCAGTTGTGATGTTTTTTTATCTCTGTTTGACAACGGAAAGCAATGGGGGTGGTCCCCACTTTTGGGATACGACAGTGTTGATAATGCCGCACATTGGGATATGCTGGGATGAACATCCATAACTACCAGCATCAAAGAACAACGAGATGCCGAAGAAGTTCAATGGTTCATCATGGTTCATCATTGTTCCACGTTTTTGTCAATGGAATCGGATATTATAATATGATATACCCTCTGGTAAACTAACATAACTATGGAAAATCACCATGTTTAATGGGAAAATCCACTATTTCTATGGCCATTTTCAATAGCTATTTTGACATAACCAGAGGGTAACTATATTCACATCTACCTTTGTTCATCCTTTTGGGGGGTCCAGCTTATTGCTCATTGCGACTCGCCGAGGTCAAAGCTCAAGCTACTTCGGAGTGACCTCGAGGTGGATGTTCCATGAACTAAGCCATCAAGCTAGTGGGGTACCCCCATTTTAGGACCCCCCCCACATATAAACTGCTAATGACAATTGACGATGGTATTGGCAATCGTAATCACGGTAATGATCAAAATAAATGACAGATATACTGTAATCAATAGTAAATAATACATTATATATATAATTTATATATATATATACTGTATACAATTATAGACAGATAGTTATGATATACAAAAATATGATAAAGGATTGACCATGTGCCTATGGTGGTCCTTGAGAATCGTCCCATGGGTTCGTGCTTTGGATCCACTGAAACACAGGCCCGAGTGGATACTCAAATTTCCGCCGGAGGGCCCAGGAACTCGGCCGTTTTGGGGCATCGCTTGGAAATCTTGGAACTGCCAAGTTTTCGGCCCGCAAAACACATGTAGCGGTTGTGGGGTCCAGCAGTTAAAAACTTTGGTGGGTGTCATAGTGTCATCCAACAATTTACTCCTCATGAGGAATGTTGAGCAGTTTATTTTATGATATTTTATGGCTGTGCAAGTCCTTCGGCTGAACAGTTGTCGGGGTCCGAGGCGCGCTTTCGGGAGCAGCCAGCACCGGGGCGAGAGATGGAGTTTGGCTCCCTAGAGATCGCATCTGGGTGTGACTGTAACATACTGTAACTGGTGGATTGAAAAAAGAAAGATATCTAACAAATGGGAGGATCCAAAATGACGAGCACATTTTTCAGGTCTTGAAGCGGGCATAGCTACAAGTCTGTGTTAGACTCCTGTTGAACACGGATACCCATGGATACCCTCCCATCCAAAATCCCAGACTTGGTGAATGATCAGCAGGAAAGCCTACAATCAACGGATTGATTTAAGGGAACATCTACAGAAAAACCTGGTTCTTACCATTAAGCATGAAGGTCTCCTGTCCTGAGTTATAAGCTGGTCTTTGAACCCCATTAACAAGAGTTACCCCTATGAACCCCAGTTCACCAAGTTATTTTTTTTTCGAACTTAGCAACATCAATCAACCCATATAATGTTAGTTAACTTGGTCAAAAACTCGATTTTTCATGTTTTTTCCCATAGTTGAACCATTTGTGGTTGGTGGGTGGTGGTTGAACCCTAGTTGAACCACAGTTGAACCATAGTTGAACCATAGTTGAACCACAGTTGAACCATAGTTGAACCATAGTTGAACCATAGTTGAACCATAGTTGAACCATAGTTGAACCATAGTTGAACCATAGTTGAACCATAGTTGAACCATAGTTGAACCATAGTTGAACCATAGTTGAACCATAGTTGAACCATAGTTGAACCATAGTTGAACCATAGTTGAACCATAGTTGAACCATAGTTGAACCATAGTTGAACCATAGTTGAACCATAGTTGAACCATAGTTGAACCATAGTTGAACCATAGTTGAACCATAGTTGAACCATAGTTGAACCATAGTTGAACCATAGTTGAACCATAGTTGAACCATAGTTGAACCATAGTTGAACCATAGTTGAACCATAGTTGAACCATAGTTGAACCATAGTTGAACCATAGTTGAACCATAGTTGAACCATAGTTGAACCATAGTTGAACCATAGTTGAACCACAGTTGAACCATAGTTGAACCATAGTTGAACCATAGTTGAACCATAGTTGAACCATAGTTGAACCATAGTTGAACCATAGTTGAACCATAGTTGAACCATAGTTGAACCACAGTTGAACCACAGTTGAACCACAGTTGAACCATAGTTGAACCATAGTTGAACCATAGTTGAACCATAGTTGAACCATTGAGTTGAACCATTGAGTTGAACCATAGTTGAACCACAGTTGAACCACAGTTGAACCATTGAACCATAGTTGAACCATAGTTGAACCATAGTTGAACCATAGTTGAACCATAGTTGAACCATAGTTGAACCATAGTTGAACCATAGTTGAACCATAGTTGAACCATAGTTGAACCATAGTTGAACCACAGTTGAACCATAGTTGAACCATAGTTGAACCATAGTTGAACCATAGTTGAACCATAGTTGAACCATAGTTGAACCATAGTTGAACCATAGTTGAACCAGTTGAACCCTAGTTGAACCCTAGTTGAACCCTAGTTGAACCCTAGTTGAACCCTAGTTGAACCCTAGTTGAACCCTAGTTGAACCCTAGTTGAACCCTAGTTGAACCATAGTTGAACCATAGTTGAACCATAGTTGAACCATAGTTGTTGAACCATAGTTGAACCATAGTTGAACCATAGTTGAACCATAGTTGAACCATAGTTGAACCATAGTTGAACCATAGTTGAACCATAGTTGAACCATAGTTGAACCATAGTTGAACCATAGTTGAACCATAGTTGAACCATAGTTGAACCATAGTTGAACCATAGTTGAACCATAGTTGAACCATAGTTGAACCATAGTTGAACCAGTTGAACCATAGTTGAACCACAGTTGAACCATAGTTGAACCATAGTTGAACCATAGTTGAACCATAGTTGAACCATAGTTGAACCATAGTTGAACCATAGTTGAACCACAGTTGAACCACAGTTGAACCACAGTTGAACCACAGTTGAACCACAGTTGAACCACAGTTGAACCACAGTTGAACCACAGTTGAACCACAGTTGAACCACAGTTGAACCACAGTTGACCCATAGTTGACCCATAGTTGAACCATAGTTGAACCATAGTTGAACCATAGTTGAACCATAGTTGAACCATAGTTGAACCAGAGTTGAACCATAGTTGAACCATAGTTGAACCATAGTTGAACCATAGTTGAACCATAGTTGAACCATAGTTGAACCATAGTTGAACCATAGTTGAACCACAGTTGAACCACAGTTGAACCACAGTTGAACCATAGTTGAACCATAGTTGAACCATAGTTGAACCATAGTTGAACCATAGTTGAACCATAGTTGAACCATAGTTGAACCCTAGTTGAACCCTAGTTGAACCCTAGTAGTTGAACCCTAGTTGAACCCTAGTTGAACCCTAGTTGAACCCTAGTTGAACCCTAGTTGAACCCTAGTTGAACCCTAGTTGAACCCTAGTTGAACCCTAGTTGAACCCTAGTTGAACCCTAGTTGAACCCTAGTTGAACCCTAGTTGAACCCTAGTTGAACCATAGTTGAACCATAGTTGAACCATAGTTGAACCATAGTTTAACCATAGTTGAACCATAGTTGAACCATAGTTGAACCATAGTTGAACCATAGTTGAACCATAGTTGAACCATAGTTGAACCATAGTTGAACCATAGTTGAACCATAGTTGAACCACAGTTGAACCACAGTTGAACCACAGTTGAACCATAGTTGAACCATAGTTGAACCATAGTTGAACCATAGTTGAACCACAGTTGAACCACAGTTGAACCACAGTTGAACCACAGTTGAACCATAGTTGAACCATAGTTGAACCATAGTTGAACCATAGTTGAACCATAGTTGAACCATAGTTGAACCATAGTTGAACCATAGTTGAACCATAGTTGAATCATAGTTGAACCATAGTTGAACCATAGTTGAACCATAGTTGAACCATAGTTGAACCATAGTTGAACCATAGTTGAACCATAGTTGAACCATAGTTGAACCATAGTTGAACCATAGTTGAACCATAGTTGAACCATAGTTGAACCATAGTTGAACCATAGTTGAACCATAGTTGAACCATAGTTGAATCATAGTTGAACCATAGTTGAACCATAGTTGAACCATAGTTGAACCATAGTTGAACCATAGTTGAACCATAGTTGAACCATAGTTGAACCATAGTTGAACCATAGTTGAACCATAGTTGAACCATAGTTTCACATTTCCCAAGCATTTGTTGGTGGAGTCTAGGTCGAAGCTGCGGTCTTTGCGCTTGGATTTGGAGGGGCAGCTGGTAACCGTCTCGGAGGCACAGCCAGCAAGATGGGAGGCTTCAGCGATTTCCTGGGGGATTTTTTTCGGTGACCAACAATGGGGAAATCACCAGGAAATGTAAAGATGGGGAGTTTTTTCACGGAGTTAAACATGTTCAGAATGATGAAACATGGGAATTTTTCATGAAAATCAGGGGAGTTCTGAACTGGTGAGCGTTGGGATGAGTGTGAGAACCGCTTCTTTGCTCGTTTTCCAGAAT